GGCCACCTATCCCCGCCCACAGCCCGCTCAGGCATTGCGCCGGCCACCTATCCCCGCCCACAGCCCGCTCAGGCATTGCGCCGGCCCCCTATCCCCGCCCACAGCCCGCTCAGGCATTGCCTTGGCCACCTAGCCCCGCCCACAGCCCGCTCAGGCATTGCCTTGGCCACCTAGCCCCGCCCACAGCCCGCTCGCGGAGGGTAGGAGACCCCGTGCCGCCGGAAGCAGGCCCTCTCTCTCTCCAGATCCGCCATTAGCAGGAGGTGAGTGCTGGGATGGCGCTCCGGAGGTCGGTGGATGGTCGCGGGTTACCCGGGGGGTTCGGAGCCCGGCGGGGTCGGCCCATGGCGGACACTAACCCTCCTCTCTCTCCCCCGCAGGTGGATCCGGCTCCGACATGCAGATCTTCGTGAAAACCCTCACCGGGAAGACCATCACCCTCGAGGTGCGGGCCGGGCTATGGGGGTGCCGGGGATGGGGGGGGGGTGCGGGCCGGGCATGGCGGTGGTTATGGTTGATGGATGCTGGCTGGGGGGTGCCGGGCATGGGGAGGGGGTGGCGGTGGTTATGGGGGTTGAGGGCCGGGCATGGCGGTGGTTATGGTGGATGCGGGCCGGACATGGGGAGGGGGGGAGGCAGTGGTTATGGTGGATGCTGGCTGGGGTGTGCCGGGCTGGCTGGGCAGGGGCTGGCGGTGGTTATGGTGGTCTGGGGTCCCTCGCGTTATTTAGTATCCGGGACCCGTGAATGTCCCGCCGTTACACGGTGTGTGTGTGTCCGAGCTCTCTGCGAGATTCACTAAGGGGCGAGTTTGTCGTGTTTGAGGGGGTTTCAGTGTGAGGGCCGCTGCTCCTTTATTGGGAACAAAGCTGCCATGCGGAATGTTTTATTTTGAGGTTAATTCCTGGAATCCAGGTTTTTTTTTTCGATAACTCTCTTTAGTGAATGCTGTATTTGATTCTGTATTTCCCAACCGTGGTGTATGCTGGGTGCTGGCCATGTGCAGTCAGGGCCCATCCATCCTGTTATGTATCCTGCATGGCTTTATGCTGGCCATGTGCAATGCAGGCAGTAATAGGCAGCCTGGGCGGCTCGCTGCGACATGTGAAGGATAGATTGTACTTGGCTGATGTTACTGTCAGGCAATGAAGCTTTCAACATTTATTTTTTTACTGGCATTTATAATGTGCCAACACATTCTGCAGGGCTGTACAATTAGGGAAAAATACAATGTAAACCGACCAATGCAAAAGTAGGCCTTGCCTATGAGCTTACATTCTAAAGATAGACTTGGTTCACTACTTTGAGCAACGTTCTCCATAGGTGCTTGAACCCACCCTACAAGTCCGTTATGAGGGTATGAATAAACTATAGAAAGTGCTCTGGAGACTTAGTAAGTTTTCTAATGTAAACTGTGTAGCACTAACAAGCTGAGCTATTGCTGAGGTACTACACCCACATTGATAATGACTTCTGCAATGTCTAGGTCAGGAAAATGTAATGTTGATAATGTGACAGTGTTGTGGAATAGTGCCAAAGATCTGTAGGTAACCTAACTGTTACAGTGAATAGTGGGAGTGCCTATTTAAAGCGTCTGTCGCCTTTTGGGGTCTATGCATATTTTGCGAAGTCCTCCAATGGTGACATCACTATTTGTACAGTGTGGGTGAGTTATACTTGCCTGATACTGTACCCTTTGGCTGCTGCCATCTTCAGGTCCTGGCACTTCATGTCAGTGTTGTACTCTTGCGCGTGTGCAAATGTACAAAACTAATGTCAATGGAGCATCCATAGATATTATCTTGTAATGAGCAATATAATGCCTTATTCCCATAACCATTGCTAGTGACCGCGATATTAAACTTAGATGTGTATGTCCAGCAATAAGTGCTATAAAATTTAAATTCATACCTTTTTTGCTTTGAGTTCTGCCCATTTTTATAGTGATATAATATATATAAAATGTTGCTATTTTATTTTACAGGTTGAAGCGTCTGATACTATTGAAAATGTCAAAGCTAAAATTCAGGATAAGGAAGGTAGGTTGGTGGATTTTCAAATATGAGAACATGGCAGATATCAAGACCCCCATCTTTAAACTGTTTTTAAATCTATGCTTGTTATGCAAAGTTCTTAAAGTTTGGAAGGTGTTACGCAATATTGTTACATTATGGAAAACTGTCTGAAATATTGAACGTTGCAAATGTGTTGACTTTTAAGTAAACCTTGTCTTTATGAATGCTTTCCTTGGGAGTAGCTTCCTATTTAACGACCATACTCGTTTTCCTGGCACTATAGTGCCCTGAGGGTGCCCCCACCCTCAGGGACCCCCTCCCGCCCGGCTCTGGAAGGGGGAAAGGGTTAAAAACGTAACTTTTTCCAGCGCTGGGCGGGGAGCTCTCTGCCTCCTCCTGGGCTGAATGCGCACGCGCGGCAAGAGCTGCGCGCTCATTCAGCCTGTCGCATAGGAAAGCATTTACAATGCTTTCCTATGGACGCTTGCGTGCTCTCACTGTGAAAATCAGTGAGAAGCACGCAAGCGCCTCTAGTGGCTGTCAATGAGACAGCCACTAGAGGAAACAGGGGGAAGGCTTAACCCATTCATAAACATAGCAGTTTCTCTGAAACTGCTATGTTTATGAAAGAATGGGTTAACCCTAGCTGGACCTGGCACCCAGACCACTTCATTAAGCTGAAGTGGTCTGGGTGCCTAGAGTGGTCCTTTAAGTTTATTCAGAAGTGGTTTCTGCTATTCTAACTGCAGATTAAGTCCTTGATGCTTTGGTGGCTGTGGATTGTCAGAAGTGGCCGGCAATATCTTTGTGCGTGCTTGTCCCTTATGATTATTGTGTGTGTTCTTAAACTGACTTCTAATGTGTGTTTTTGTTTTTTGTGTTCCAGGTATTCCCCCTGATCAGCAGAGATTGATCTTTGCTGGCAAACAGCTGGAGGATGGCCGCACTCTTTCTGACTACAACATCCAGAAGGTATGGCTTTCAACCAGAAACCTGTACCTTTATCTCTAGGCAAACCATTGTGCAACGTTAACTTACTGTGGTACAGCTTTGTGTTTTTAAAGGCTTTGTATTGGGTAATTTTATGTAAATTGTTTATCATGTGGCAAGATGTTGGCTGACTTTGTAACCTGTTTAAAGGCTGCTAAAAGGTCACATAAGGTGTTTACAAAGATATTATTCCCAAAGAGCACCTTGTCTAGTATTAGCCAGTAAATGTGCTGGTAAAATGGTCTGCACACTGTGAGATGACACAAGCCCAGAATGCATTGCACATTATTATTTTATTAATTTTTTTTGAGGGGATATTAAGCAATTTGTGCAATGTAAAACCAATTAACTCATTAATAATTGTTCTGTGAAGAACGTGTTCATTCTCTGCAGCTAGTGTTCTGAAGGTTTTTTTTTTTTCTCTTCTTTCCTTAAAATTAAATTCTAATGCTAACCCGGAGTTCTGTGAATGTAAATGACTGTTCAAGCCAGGTCTGTTGGAAGTGATCAGCATTTATACATTTCTGTTGGTGCTAGTTAGCAGTTAGAACATGTCTAGTTAATACAGCAATGGTTGGATTATCCTTTGTCGGTTTATATATCCAAAGTGTTTTAAGAGCTCAGTATATTCGTATCTTATGGTAGTGTTTCACATTTTGACCTGACTATTCTCCCAGGAGTCCACTCTTCACCTTGTGCTGAGGCTCCGAGGTGGTGCCAAGAAGAGGAAGAAGAAGTCTTACACCACTCCCAAAAAGAACAAGCATAAGAGAAAGAAGGTCACACTTGCCGTGCTCAAGTACTACAAGGTACTCTCATAACATAAGCTACAGATGGTTTTACGTAGGGATGTAGCTATTGATCCTTGCTTCATTTAAGTGATTCCCTGGTGAATTCCAACAACCCTGATTGTGCTGCAAAAACACTGGTTTAGTTTCAGTTGTGGACTTATGGTTATCGGCATTTGGATTACCCCTTACCTGCCCTTGCCCCCAGGCATCTCCACATTAAACCATGTATGATCATATTTGCCCTAATACATGGGCTATGTTTAAAAAAAAAAAATTAAAAAAAAATGGGATACTGTGTATGGTTAAGCTTGGCATCCATGTTTTGTGAAGTACAGAAAACTAGAGTTGCAGACATCCGAGGTGCCAAAGCTAGACATCACTGCATGATGATGTAAACGTTTTCCTTCTCTCTATCATAAAGTACTAATGCATAGCAGGCTCAGATTGTATTGGGCCAAGTCTCCGGAGTTGTTTAGGTATTGGTGTTACTCAGCTTTGTGGAATAGCCCTGTGTGTTAATCAGATGGTGTTGTCTCTTGCAGGTCGATGAGAACGGTAAAATCCACCGCCTGCGACGTGAATGCCCTTCAGATGAGTGTGGAGCTGGTGTCTTCATGGCAAGTCACTTTGATAGGCATTACTGTGGCAAGTGCTGTCTGACTTACTGCTTCAACAAGCCCGAAGACAAATAAATGTACATTTGTTAATAAAGGAGTCCACTAATCTAGCTCTTTGTTTTCTGTTTTGAGCAAACTGTTGGCAAGTAGCTGAAGTTGGCTACCAGCTAACCAGATGACACATCCTTATCACCATCTGGTAATATATGTACTATTGCAAAAGGTTCTATAGTCACCTAGCAGTTACAGTTAGTGTTTAAGGGTGAAGTCACCCTTAGTGTTAATACCGTGGCAAATGCCTCCACTTTTTTTTTTATTTTTTTTATTTTTTTACATCTATAGAAACATTGTGGATATAGCACATTTCCATGATTTTAAACCGTAAACAAAGTGATATCCAGCAGATAACATGTTTGCTAAACTGCACAATTTCTTAAAAATTAGAGGGAGATATCTTATTGCTATCATTGCTAGCGTTATGCAAAGAAGTTTGCATCCATTACAAACAGAACTAAGGTGCAGCACAAATTCAGATGCCTAACAGTTTGCATAAATTATGGACACCACTTTTTTTTTTTTTTTTAAGGACAATTAAGATGACTCATGGACAGAATAGATAGGATACAAACAATATTCATAGAATAAAGTCTGTTCCAACATGCATTTCAAATAAATCAATTGCCTGAAGCATGTGGTAGAATATCTGCACATTTTAATGATCTATTAGGCAGTGTTAATGCACTGTCTACTTAATGTATCTCTTGCTATGTGATAATTAGGAAAGTGGTAAGCTGTGAAACAGCCATAGTGATTTTGCTAGAATGAGGCATGTATAAGTAGTATCTGTTCATCAGTGGAGGCAATTGAAGCTTTATTAATGAATCGCAGAATAGTCTATTGTGTCATGCCAGGTACCTGAAGAAAAACTAATGTTCAATATCTGACTAAATTGGGATTAAACACCCTATAAAAATAGGCACAAAGGAAAGGTGTCAAGGAAATAAGCCTAGTATACAGTAAGGCTGTATCTATGCTCCAGTTGGATATAAAGGATCATATGCTTATAAAATAAACATAATGAAGGAATAAAAATACCACTGAATAAGAAAACCGCAACTACAAATCACACCTTGCTAGTCATACACAGACGAGTGTGTAATAAGCTTTTCTGGCCTATCCAGGTATTTGGGAAAATATAAAGCACACTGTTAAGAACCACTGCCACACTGAGGCATGAATCCCGACTCCCATAGGAGAGGGCTCCACAAGCCCCAAGGCTTAGTATGATCCTGCACAATAGTTTCACGGATCCTGATAGGAATCTACCCACAAAATGTGCTCAGTGGAGCAGTTATGGGGTTTTCCGATATGTGAAATGTGCATGGGGGTTCATCCGTGGTTTGATTTTTATACTAGGTAAGTGGGTGAGGTTGGGTGCTGGACTCTAAAAATGCAACCTCTTCTCAACTCCTGCTGTGTCTCTGGAGATATTCGGTGCAATGTTTTGATAGTAAGTTGGGAGTCTCACAGATGGTGTATAAAAATGGCTGCCTGGTTTTCTTTGATAGGGGATCAGAGGCTTTATCCCTTACATGTACCAGGCCAGCTGCCGTTCGAGAGACTGCTGCTGAGTTAAGCAGTGTTTCCGTTTTGGTGTCTCACACCCTGGCATACATTAGCTTAGATTCAGCCAAAAGGTGTTGAATAGTTTGTCCAGGTGAGCCATGACATTATGTGGCAGTCCTCTAGGCATCAAGGAGCATGTGGCATCTGCCATCTTAGTCATGCTTGAGCACCTGTGTTGCTCAGATAAGCCCCAGAAAAAACATTGCCCAGAGCATAACACTGGCCTGTCTTCTTCCCATATTGCATTCTGTTGTCATTTATTCCCAAGGTAAACGATCCACACACCCAGCCATCCACCTGATCTAAAAGAAAACATTTTTAATTGGAATAGGCAACCTTGTTTCATTGCTCCCATGTACAGTTCTGATGCTCACAACCCTACCGGGCATTATGGGCACTCTGACTGGTCTGCAGCCACACAGCAAACTGCAATGCTTCTTACACCTCTATCATGGCCAGCAATAAGTTTTTCATCAATTTGAGCTACTGGTGTGTGATTGGACAGATCTGAAATTCGAGAACTGAATTCACTTGCTGCCTAAGCCAATATATCCTACCCCTTGACAGGTGCCATTGTAATGATTATATATGGCACCTTTCAAGGGGTGAGAACATATAATCAATGTTATTCACTTCATCTGATAGTGGTTTTAATGTGGATGATCAATGTTGGTGCTATCCATTAATAAACAAATATGAGAAGGGGTACATAAGTTACACAAACAGCAATGCAGAATAAGAGTTGATTCAGACAAGAAGACAGTATTATTATTATCATCACTATTTTTAGTTTCAGCAACAAGATGGTGGTGTCATTTCTGGATACAAACTAATTTCTGTCTCCCTCCACGTTAATGGTGCTACCATCAGCTCCACCACACAGGCTCGCTGCCTAGGTGTTCTCTTGACTGACATCTCCTTCACCCCTCATGTCCAGTCTATCTCCAAATCCTGCTGCTTCTATTTCAAAACCATTGCGCGCATCCGCCCCTACTTTAACGCCTTCTCTCACTACTGCAGTCTATAATGAATGCGGTGGCGAGACTCATCTTCCTGTCCTCCCACGCCTCACCCCTCTGTCAGTCCCTGCATTGGCTTCCCGTAAGATATAGAGCTCAATATAAAATTATGGTTCTTGCTTTCAAATCTCTACATAATGCTACTCCCACTTATCTATCCTCCCTAATACACAAGTATGTCCCGTCTAGGCCACTACGCTCTGCTGAAGACCTGCGTCTATCCTCTGTTCCTACTCCCACCTCTGATGCTCGTATTCACAACTTCTCTAGGGCTGCACCATTCCCTTTTCCGTTAGACTCTCACCTAGTCTCCACTCCTTCAAAAAATCATTAAAAGACTCACTTTTTCACAAAAGCATATCAATTAAACGGTTAATGGCTCCAGAAAACTCCAAACTAAGTCTTCATTGAATACTATTCTACCAACCTACTTCCCTTACCGTTTGTGTCATTTTACCCCACTTCCTCTAGCATGTAAGCTCATTGAGAGGGCCCTCAACCCCTCTGTTTATGTGCGTCAAACTTGTCTGGTTACAATTACATGTTTGTAAGTCCACCCATTGTAAAGAGCTACGGAATTTGTTGGCGCTATATAAATATAATAATAATAAAAGAGTAGTTTAAAAAGAAACAAAATACTTGCACATTACCATTCGATCTCAAGGATCTAAAAATAGAAGCAAAAGCAGTCCTAGTGCAACACTGTCATATATTAAAAAAAATATAAAATTCTAATAAATAAAACTCACAAACTTGTAGTGGTTATAGTACCACTCCTAAATGAAGGGCTCAGGGAGGATGCCAATGCAGGATCCACGAGACTCACCACCAGCCAAACTCTTCGTTTAAAATCTTTATTATATTGCAGAAAAAGTTGTGCGGCACTGAAGGTAGATCCGTCATGTGCTAACCTGGAAGTGCAGAGAGGGAGTGTGCTGGAGTAAGCTGCTGAGACCAAGAGGAGTAATTTGTATTATTGTATTTATTTTAGTATTGGTCCCGGAGGAAGTCCTCTACGGAGTACGAAACGCGTAGGATCATTGTTTTATGAATTTTAACTTACTCTTATTAAAATATATGCCAATAAAAGCAACTTTTTGTAATATATATATAGAAGTTCCTGAATTCCTCCAATAGGGACTGCCGACAGGAGAGGGATACAACCCCCCATAACAAGCAGGGAATGCTCATATATCACAGCAAATTGTGAGTGCAACCATAAAGTGTCTGCTACTTGATGACAAAAACACATTGCTGGATCCCTAAATCGTGCATTCTGTTTCTATCTTGTGTTCGTGGTTACTATATTGGGAGGTAACCATAGGGAAGCTGCATATCCAAAGATAAGTTTAATATTATTTGTTATTTCCACTTAAACACGAGTGTAGAGTTGGAAGCGTTATACTTTATATGTTAACAATCAAGACTGATACGTGAATCTATTTTAGGTTGTTTATGTTTAGTTACACTGAATGTGTAAAAATGATTAAAGGACCACTATAGGCACCCAGACCACTTCAGCTTAATGAAGTGGTCTGGGTGCCAGGTCCATCTAGGTTTAACCCTTTCTACTGGAAACATAGCAGTTTCAGGGAAACTGCTATGTTTACAATAGGTTAATCCAGCCTCTAGTGGATGTCTGTGATTTTCACAGTGAGAAGACGCCAGCGCCCATAGGAAAGCATTGAGAATGCTTTCCTATGGACTGGCTGAATGCGCACGCGGCTCTTGCCACGCATGTGCATTCAGCCGATGACGGCGAAAAGGAGGAGGAGAGTTCCCCGCGCCGAGGGAGCCCGGCAGGAGAAAACAGGTAAGATTTAACCCCTTCCACCCCCTAGAGCCCAGAGGGTGGGGGGGACCTAGAGACCCTATAGTGCCAGGAAAACAAGTATGTTTTCCTGGCACTATAGTGGTCCTTTAAAAGCAAAAAATGTGGGGAAGAAAATGATATCTAGTTTTGAAATTTGTAACATTTTATTTACACTTAAAGGACCACTCTAGGCACCCAGACCACTTCAGCTTAATGAAGTGGTCTGGGTGCCAGGTCCAGCTAGGATTAACCCATTTTTTTTTATAAACATAGTTTCAGAGAAACTGCTATGTTTACAAATGGGTTAATCCTTCCTCCAATTCCTCTAGCGGCTGTCTCATTGACAGCCGCTAGAGGCGCTTGCGTGATTCTCACTGTGAAAATCACACTTGCGTGATTCTCACTGTGAAAATCACACTGAAAATCACAGTGAGAGCACGCAAGCGTCCATAGGAAAGCATTGTAAATGCTTTCCTATGCGACCGGCTGAATGCGCACGCAGCTCTTGCCGCGCGTGCGCATTCAGCCGAATGGGAGGAACGGAGGAGGAGAGCTCCCCGCCCAGTGCTGGAAAAAAGTAAGTTTTTACCCCTTTCCTCTCCCCAGAGCCGGGCGGGAGGGGGATGCTGAGGGTGGGGGCACCCTCAGGGCACTATAGTGCCAGGAAAACGAGTATGTTTTCCTGGCACTATAGTGGTCCTTTAATGTGTTAGATATAAATATAGGATAGTGTCCTTTCAAAAACAAATCCATAGCATGTATGGGGCACTTAAAAATAAATCCTAAATTAAGGTAGAACAAACATATAGGGCAAATTCCAGGTTTTGCAAATTAAAAAAAAAAAAAAATTCTGAACTTTGAAAACAATAGGATAAATTTCTCACACTTGTTCACATTTTATTCATATTACATTATGATAGATATATATATATATATATATATATATATATATATATATATGTATATATGTGTGGGGGCACTTACTATGAAAAAGAGGATAATTATGGGTGAACAAACATATAGCTCAAATTCCAGGATTTGTTTTGGTTCGGAACTTGGACTATTGCCTCCGTTCTTATTTTAATTATTTTCTATAAATTGCTGATTGGAAGCTATGCTTTTTCATAGTGCCAATATATTTCTGTTGAAATAGCCATTTTAAAACATGGAAAATAAGACATGGAGAACAGGCCAGAATGCTGTTAATGTTCATTTATTTTGTTTAAATAAAAATAAAAAAATAGCAACAATAAATTATCCAATTGATAATAGCATGACTTATTGCACAGTGTTTCAGTGGTGTATTTTTCTATCCTCAACCTTAAAGTCCATACCCAACCAGAAATCTGATACATTGATATGATATGACCAAAAAACTAAATGGCTTCATGGATGCGGTTACAAGAATTTTCATCTCCGACTTCTGGATCCTTTCATTGACCGTGGGTGTTTCCTACTCTGGTATCTAGTCTGGCTCAGCACGGCCAGGAAATATTTACCAGAACAATGACAGTATTCAATTGTAACAACGCTGGTTACCAATAAAGGCCCAATTAAAATCCAGGGTCCCATGATATCTCCTGCTGGACCTCTTTGTCTTCAACACACAATATTTCATCTCCAACCTTCACCTCCATGTCTTTATCCAGGCTTAGACCACATTCTACACCAGTTTTCACTGACTGGACATCGTCTTTGTGGTGTTTAAGAGATGTTAAATTTCCTGAATGGGAAAGAATAGACATATCGGATCACTTTAAAAATCCATAGTAAATAAATGGGAATCGATAATATCTGAACAGAAATCACTGCACTCCAGAGAATTAAGAATGTTTAAATCAAAGGATTGCCCAGTATGTAAAAGAAATAAAGTAATAACAAAATATATACAGGATGTACCGAAAAAAGGTATACACATGTTCATTGATTAAAGTCTGTGTTTATTAACATACAGCTCTTTTTAAAAATGAATGCACAATATCTGGGATTTATAGAAATGATATATAGAGTGATATAATGATAATCCACCAGGACCCAGAAGAATCCATCAATAAACACACAAAAAATGTCCAAATGTATAAAATCAGTTGCTCTGTAGCTTTACCTTGTTTTGTGAATCAAATATATATGAAAGTTACCCATATCCCGCTGCAGGGTTTATGGAGAACATAGTTATATTACTGCTTTCTATGGATACCCATACATCTGCTCTGCGAGTGTGCAGGTAAAACCATGTGGACTGGTTTCCATTCAGAGGAAAACGTGCCTGAAACATAAGTGACTCTCAGCCACTTCCTGGTCTCTGCAGATGCAGCAGACCCTGGGAACGTGTAAATGTGTGGAAATCAGAGCATATTGCCATTTTATTTATTTTTCAAGTATTTTCAATGTACGGGCTGTAGGGGTATAATGTATCCCTTCGACATAATTCTAAAGCCTACACGTTAAGGACAGAACTTTGGTTCTTGCTATTAAAAGGCAACATTACTTACCTTCCCATAGAACATTTCCATTACGTTGTAATTTAAATTTGAGTTTCTTATCTAGAACTCCTTTCTGGACTCGGCAGCCGGCTACTTGGACTTTCTTTTTTCCTACTGTTACATCGAAGGTTGCCAGTACAGCTGCCTCTCCTTTAGGAAAAGAAATAAGTTGTGTTTACGAAGGTGAAACAACGATTTTCATCTAAAAGGGCCAAAGCATGAAGGTGAGGAATCACAGAACAGACAAGGACTGGAGAAATCAGCTCAATGCTTCTCAATACAATTTCATTCCAATACATTTGACAAAAATATCTGAGGTACACTTTATTCAGAATCAACTGAACTGAATGAGCCCCAACTATTTTCAAATAGATTTCAATTTGTTTGAAAAGAGAGGCAGATGAATTGTAACCGAGTGGTGACTGAACAGCAGTCAAATTTCTCTACAGTAAAAAAATACTCTCTTAATGCGAGAGTAGTTTAATTATATCTTTTTAAAAAAAAAAAAAATGTTTTCTTCCATAGTATATTTGTTAGAGATGCTGCAAATCTTGGTTTTAAGACCACAAACAGCGTTCTCTGCTTCGTTTGTGTCACAATGTCTAATTATATATGTTTGTGTGTGTAAAGATTCTAATTTGTCTTTTTTACTTCATTTGTAAAGCACTCTGGGTAAAATCACTATTACCAACTGTTCAATCAATAAATAAGGGGGTAAGGTATTGTTATAGCCCAAATCAGGTACAGGATTTTTTGACCAGTTCAAAGAAAAGATAGGGATTCACCTGTCATTCTGCCAGTAGTGAAAAGCAAAATTATTACAGAGATCCAGCAGATTTCATCGATTACTGAATAGCAGCCCTATAAGTGTGCAGATATGGCTGTAATAACAAAGTCTGACATGTTTTAATTCCGCAGGCATTCGGTAAAATGTGTGCGAAATAAATGGATTTATTAAAACAAATCAATGACACGCACTTACCTTTTACCGTTTCTTCTATTATTGGGGGCAATTTACTGTTGAGCTCTTTTTTCATATCTTCAAATAGATGGTAAATGACTTTATGCAGTTTTACTGGGATGTCTTTTTTGGCTGCAAGTTGCTGGACAGCTTTGTTTGTGCTCACGTTAAAGCCGTATATATGAGCTGAGTTAGAAAATAAAAAAATAAAATGTGTGAGTGCAAGATAGAACAACTAGTTTCAATGGGCAGCTGGAGATAGGCAGAGAGCATCACCTGATATTTTCAACCTATCACCAGCTACCGGGCAAATCTTCATGATACGGCCCAGAAGTGAGGAGGCAGGCATGTTGGGCACAGTGGGATCAACTTTGCAGATATGTTGTAGGAAAACACTTTAAACACCTGTAAAAATAGTGCCCAGGAACTCTGTCTGAGATGGTAGTGCCCCTTTAAGTAATGTAGGAATACTGTTAATAATTGGCATGATTAAATCCCCATATTTTGTACATGAGATGGGTGATTTTAAATATCATGTAGAGTGACAGCTCGGCTATTAAACTTACCTCTTTCTCCAGCGCCAGGCGGGAGAGCTCTCCTCCTTCTCTCCGCCTCCTCTTCGGCTGAATGCACATGCGCGGCAAGAGCCGCGCGCGCATTCAGCCAGTCTCATAGGAAAGCATTTACAATGCTTTCCTATGGATGCTCGCGTCTTCCCACTGTGAAAATCACAGTGAGAAGCACGCAAGCGCCTCTAGCGGCTGTCAAGAGACAGCCACTAGAGGCTGGATTAACCCTAACATAAACATAGTAGTTTCTCTGAAACTGCTATGTTTATAGAAAAAAAGGGTTAAACCTAGCTGGACCTGGCACCCAGACCACTTCATTAAGCTGAAGTGGTTTGGGTGCCTATAGTGGTCCTTTAGCTATTTGGTAAACCATATTGTGTATTCTAAAAGAATACATCTGGTTTTTTCACTCTCTCTCATTTTTGGGGGTCAGAACCCAAGCCAAGCAATTAAATACAGATGTTTTTGAAAAGGAATGTTACCTTTGAATGTTTCTGCAAGATTAAGGTCATTCTCATTAACATCACCAACTCCAAAGTGAACCAAGTCAAGCTCACACTGATCTTCTGCATCGTAGGAGTCTATGATACCAAGGACTGCCTCCACCGATCCGTCAACATCACCTGGACAAAGTAACAGGGAGACTCGTGGTGCTAAGATATTGACATGTAGCTCTGCAGATAACAATGGCTTACATAACACATATTTAGTAAATTGCCTATTTTTTTAATGCTAGATTGCTTTTACTTGCCAATTGAAATTTATTGATTTTTTTTTTTAACGGTGACCATAGCTTAACAGAAGAGGTTGGCAAGCCACAGTTGAAGACACGGTTTACACTGTTTGATTTATCTAGTGTTGTTTTTATGAGAAGGATCATTTTGAATCTCTTACTTTTATGGTGACTTAATATAAAAGAAAATCATCCTAGCAAGACCAGCGCCCTAATTCATTAAAGGAAAACTATAGGGTTCAGAACACAAACATGTATTTCAGACCCTATAATGTTAAAAACACTTTCTAGCGCCTCCCCCCTCCCCCTTCAATATAGTAAAATCTTACCTTTATTCCAGTCTGCACCTGATCTGCCTCCTTGGTAGACACCATCAGAAGTGACGATCCCAGCCAATCACAATGACTTCCCATTGGATAGCATTGGATTGTCTGAGATTGTCAATTCTCATGATTCCAACTAAGGAGGCAGGCCGGGGGGCAGAGACAAACGCAACCCTGGCCAATCAGCATCTACTCATAGAGATGCATTGAATAAATACATCTCTATGAGGAACGTTTAGTGTCTCCATGGCAGAGGTGGAGACATTGAATGTCAGTCACACTATGCAGCACTGCCCCAGGAAGCACCTCTCGTAGTCATCTGAGGAGTGGCCAGTGGAGGTATCCTTAGGCTGTAATGTAAACACTCCCTTTTTTCTATAAAAGTCAGTATTAACTGCAAAAATCCTACAGGGACTGACTGTACTCACCACCAGAACAGCTACATTAAGCTGTAGTTGCTCTGGTGACTATAGTGTCCCTTTAAGCTATAAGGAATAAGATTTTCTTAAAGCGAGAGTTGAAAAAAGCAACCAAGTACCTGAGGACTTCAAAGAAAAATCTGATCTTACAGTCCTGATGGACTTCTCAATTCCTTGCTGGATCACACAAGCTATTTAGTCTGATGGATCAAGTGTTTCAGTCATTTGCTCCACTACAATATACCTCCTCCAATGCAATGTCATTAATAACTGGAAATAAAATGAGATGCTAAGACATCCTTTTTATAAATCCCTCTGAATTCATCTGTGAGTAAGTAGCACTAGTCAGGGCCGGACTGGCCCACCGGGATACCAGGAAATTTCCCGGTGGGCCGTCGGCACCTGGGGCCGGGGTGACCTGCGGCCGCAGGGAGAGCTTGGATGTCGGCCGCAGGGGTAGCAGGCTGTTCTGTCTCTGCTCCCCCTCCCTCGCGCGGGGCCGGAATATGACGTCATATCCCGGCCCCGGTCTCTTTCTAGCGCGCGAGGGAGGGGGAGCAGAGACAGAACAGCCTGCTCCCCCAGCGGCCGCCAGAAGAGCTTCCCCTGCGGCCGACATCCAAGCTCTCCCTGCGGCCGCCAGCACACAGGTATGTATGTCAGTGGGAGTGTGTGTGTCTGTGTCATGCTGTGTGTGTGTGTCTGTCTGTGTCATGCTGTGTGTGTGTGTCTGTGTCATGCTGTGTGTGTGTGTCTGTCTGTGTCATGCTGTGTGTGTGTGTGTGTGTGTCATGCTGTGTGTGTGTCTGTCTGTGTCATGCTGTGTGTGTGTGTGTCATGCTGTATGTGTGTGTCTGCCTGTGTCATGCTGCGTGTGTGTGTCTGTGTGTGTCATGGTGTGTGTGTCATGGTGTGTGTGTCTGTATCACGGTGTGTGTCTGTCTGTCATGGTGTGTGTGTGTGTCTGTTTGTGTCATGGTGTGTGTATGTCTGTCATGGTGTGTGTGTGTGTCAGTCGTGGTGTCTGTGTGTGTTTTTAAAAATAGTGTTTTACTCACCTTTTTTTTTTTTCCAACGTCGTGCTGGTCTCTTCCTCTATGACTGAGATCATCAAGCTTGATGATCTCAGCCAATCCGCACTGACACAAGAAGCGCCTCTAGTGACCGTCTGAGTGTCTGTCACTAGAGGTGTCACTAGGAAGCAATGTAAACACTGCCTTTTCTCTGAAAAGTCAGTGTTTACATTCAAAAACCTGCAGGGACAGGCTATAGACACTAGAACCACTACATTAAGCTGTGTGTGTGCGCGCCTGCTAGTGAGCTTGCTTGCTTGCTTGCATGTGTGTGTGTGTGTGTGTGTGCCTGCTAGTGGGTGAGCTTATGTTTTTATGTCAATGAGCTTATGTATATTAGTAAAATTGTTTGTCTATGAGGCTGTGTATCAGTGAGCTTGTGTGTGTCAGTGAGATTGTCTGTGTCTGCATGTGAATATGCTTACTGTATAATTAAATGTTTTACTTTGAAAGGACCAATATATTATATTAGAAAAAGCAATATATATTATATATATATATATATACATATATACACACACACATTACTCAATCATCTGGGGTGGGCAAGACATAGCCTTACATATTACATGCGACAATATATGGCGCAATGACTTATGGGGCTGGCATAGTTTTTTTTCCAGGGCTGCTTTGTATCAACAGTCAAGCCCTGGCACTAGTAACAATATTAACATAATTACCCCCATGTTCAATAAGGATTTGTTAATCATGTATTAATAAGGTGTTGATGATCACAAAAATTCTCTCTCCAATAAATATATATCCAACGATTAGGGACCTACTAACACAGCAGAGGGACACAGGGGTAAAAATCGCATCTGTTTTGTAGCTTGTGCTTCCTCTTTCCATGCCCTTAATGTTACCCAACGGTATGAAGAAAACCCAAATATGAGTCATAATCTCCTGGCAGGTTACATTAGTGTGTACACATGAACCCAAACATTATTGATATGTGCAATCCATTCAACACAGTCCTCCTGATTTCTACTCTGTGCCTTGTGTCCACTACTTTAAACCAACTATAGATTTAGTTTCTCAATCTTAAATTAAAGGGAAACTCGGCTCACCATAACAACTTCATCTAAATAAATGAAGTTGTTATGGTGACAGGAGTGCTCCTTCAAGTGTTTCAACTTTACTGAACGTAACTAGTGCTGTAGAAATTGTTAGTATTATATCAATAAATGTTGATCCTAAAATAATTTGGCTTTGGGAAAGTAAAATTTTCACCTTTTATAATGATGGGGAAGGTCAGATCCTCACTCTCTGTCTTCTCTGCCACCCTGCTGTTCATTAGATGTTTATTAGCTTTATACATTGCGGACTTCCTTTGTCTCCAAGTCATATTGCTGAACGACTCCAAGTTCTTCCTGTAAGCTTCTCGGTGCTCTTGTTGTTTGGCTTCAATAACATCCATATCTTCGTTAATTTTCTCCTGCTCTTCCACATACTTTCTCCATTCAACAACTTCTCGAGCACGTTGCTGAATTAAAATAAATAAGTAAATATGTAAAGAAAGAAAATAATAGGGATGTGCTACATGAAGTCAACATGTCTTGAATTTCAACTCAAGCGTTATCCAACCGGAGAAGAATTGCAATCAAACAATAGATGGTAGCCTAGTAGCCATGAGTAACCTGGCTTTATTTAGATATCCGTTTAACTCATGAAATTCAGTAATCCTAGAATCCCTTGTTTTACCCATTTAAAGATAAAAACACATCTCTGGACATTCATGGTTTTGTAAAAGTACCCAAAACGTTTAAGTTCCAGAGGAACCAGCCACTTGTTCCTTTGACTTTCTTACCTCTGATTCTACTTCCAAAATTTCATCCCCAGCTGACGGCAGATCTTTCCAGCCGACAATCTCCACGGGCATGCTGGGACAAGCCTGATTCAAACTGATTCCATTTTCATCAAACATCAGACGCACTTTTGCCCAGGATTTTCCAGCCACCAACACAGCACCCTTCTTGAGAGTTCCTCTCTGCACAATGGCAGTGGTGACTGGCCTAACAGTGTGTGGGGGAAAAAAAAAAACAACATAAAATAGAATGTGAAATCTCCTTTTTCAATGTATCACTTCTGGAATGCCTGTAGTAGCAGAAAGCAAACATATGGACTATTCACCCTTTCCCTTTGTCTGTGCGACACTCAATAACAGCTCCTTCCACAGGGCCCGTAGGGTCAGCTTTTAATTCCAGAACTTCGGCCAATGTCACAGTGGCTTCAGCTAAGGCTTGTAAGTTGTCGCCCTGGAAAAGAAGACATTTTCCATAACAGTACTTAGAACAGAGTATATATAACCGATTATTTATTCTCTGTATACCTTTAGTGCAGATATATGTATAGCCTGGATATCACCCCCAAATTCCTCACAAACGATATCATGGGCCAGGAGCTCTTGCTTTACTCGGTCAGGGTCGGCTTCAGGTTTGTCACACTTGTTTACGGCAAGAATGATGGGAACTGCAATGAATAAAAAGAAGAAAAAATCTAAAAAGGAATTTTCACGGCTATCAACCCATTCAACAAAAAACAAGTAAACTATAGATTATTGTAAAGCACATGACAAGGTCAATATAAACCAATATTATTAGTGTAATACCTTCTGGGATTTCAAAGTGTATAAGAACAATGACACATCACTCTGCTTAGATGCCGGTGTAACAGCAATGAAGCAGATGTACCAAGAAGTATAATGGCTCAAGAAATAATCAATGTTGATGCAATCTCGCCATTCTCTTCCTTTTCAACAACATTTTTACCAGTCAAGCTTAAAGTGGAAAGGTCAACTTCTGACTTTGCATAATTTTTCCCTCACGGGAGCGGCCATCCTCTTCCGACCGGTCCTCCGACAAAACTGTTGTACTCTCACGCATGCACAAGAGTGCATCAAGGTCAATGGAGAATCCCGCAAGATCCTCCTTAGATAGAGTACATTTCCTTGCAGCTCACATTGGGGGGGTTAATACTTCTTGACGGTGGTAGCTTCACTCTGTGTCAAGAAGTGTCAAGCATAGAAGAAATCCCTAGTCCTTACTTTGCCTCAGTGTGTTTTTTGACAAGGATGGAATTCTGGTGAAATTAACGCAGTCAACGAGTACGTCATAAAGATTATATCTTTATAAAATACTCATTTTGCAGGAGAGTGACAAGGCAGCTTTCAGATCACAATTCTTCCAAAGAAGTGTTGGAACCAATGGACACACTGAATTCAACACCAGAAATCTGAAAAACCAAATGAAACCCCTTTCAAACAATATTACCTAACCTTCAGTATTGGGTCCCGAGCAGAATTAACACCATAAACGGTTTTGCAAAGTTACTGTTTAAAAATGGTTTCTTGTTAATCAATTGCAGCAAACTAAAGTACAAAGAAACACTATTGCAACAACGTTGAATAAAAACAAAAAAAAAACTTTAAATTGCAGATGATGCCAGGACACTCCAGGTAACATAACAGTGGCTATCATGTATGGAGTACCCTGGCACCATTCTTGGTAATGGGGCACACCATTTTACAAAAGGTTGCCTTCTTACCTCATCCCACTGGACACCAAGGATGGTGGTTGAACCATGACAACTTCAACTATCATTGAAGTGGTCATGGTGGCTAAAGCTATTCTTTAACTTTGCTCATTGCAGCACTAAGGATTCTACCTTTAGCGTTTTTAGCATGCTGAATGGATTCTACGGTCTGTTTCATAACGCCATCTTCTGCTGCCACCACCAATATAATAATATCTGTAACTTGCGCCCCTCTTGCTCTGATTGCAGAAAACGCTGCATGTCCCGGTGTGTCGAGAAATGTGATCTTCTCTCCCGACGGTAAACAAACTGTGAAACATAAAAGAACATTGGTGAAAATACGGTTATTTCTGCGGTAATACCTAATTTGTCATAAACAAATGTATGTTTGTCAAATTCTCCTGAGGAGTTTATTTGGCATCAGAAGCAATGAAGGGATTCATAAATAGACTGCTGGAGAATGTATCTCAATGATGAGAACCAATGTCTGAGAATCTAATGGAACCTAGACACAGTCTAGAAGAGGATGCAGTCCTTGTAGAAAGCATCTTAAAGGGTCACTATAGTCACCAAAACAACTTTAACTTAGTGAAGCAGTTTTGGTGTATAGATCATGCCTCTGAAGTTTAACTGCTCAATTATTTGCCATTTAGGCATTAAATCACTTTGTTTCTTTCTATGCAGCCCTAGCCACACCTCCCCCGTCTGTGACAGCCTCCATGAAAAAAAAAATGGTTTAATTTTCAATCACATGCAACTTACTTTCAAAGTTTGTATTGCTGCTCTGTAAATTGAACTTTAATTACATTCAGGAGGCTCTTGCAGGGTCTAGCAAGCTATTAACAGAGTTGGGGATAAGAAATTGTAAATTAAACAGAATTGTAATAAATTAAGTCTACACATTAGATGACTCTTTACAGGAAGTATTAAAGAAGGCTGTGCAAGTCACATGCAGGAAGTCGTGGCTAGGGCTGCATAAACAAAGTGATTTAACTCCTAAATGGCAGAGAATTGAGGAGGGACACTGCAGGGGCATGATCTATACACCAAAACTGCTTTATTAAGTTAAAGTAGTTTTGGTGGCTATAGTGTCCCTTTAAGCATTGAGAATACTTACACCACCAACACACTGGTGACAGCACGGCCTCTTATGGTCACTATGGCCCCATGTATCTTGTATAGTAACAAATATGTGCTGATATTTTTCCATAGCAGCCTAGCAAATAAAACAAAAAATATAGGTGGACTTTGTTTTTTTTGTTTTATAATAACTACAAGCTTTGGTATATGCTTACTTTAGAAACCTGGATGGTGTAAAATAGTGTATCCACATATTATATTATTTTACAGTTGGTATTGCCATTAAATGTTAGGATGTATCATTAGATTTTCTCTTTTATATGTTTTTTCTAATGTAGTGTACAACTGTTGGGCTTCGATTAATGCTTGAAAAAAAAAATAAAGAAAAAAAAAATAAAAGATTCCCCCTCTCTAGAAACTACTAGTTAGATTATATCCCTTAATCATGGAGAGAAATTATTCAACCAAACATCCAACCAATGACAGAATATAGTTTAAATTAGAAACATTACATTGCTATACAATAACTTGCAAAGTAAAAAAAGCTTTATTTATAAGCAAGTTGGAATAAAAGGTGAACGTTCAGTGGAGTAAAGATGCAGAGCCAGAATACATTTTCCCAATGTCCTAAACAGGATTGGGGCCCATTCCTGGAGCCCTGGACTCTGATTCTGTGAGTTTTATGTGTGTGTGTGGCTGAGGGTGTATGTGTGTGTGAGTGTGCGTAGTCGCGGAGTGTGCTTGTGTATGGCTGAATGTGTGTATGATCCTCCTCCTGCATACTTTTCCCAGTTGGTCTAGTTGCAGACCATTGTGGACTGCCCCAATATCAGCTGCAGACCAATTTAAGAGTTTTCGTGTAGTCTGGCACTTAGTCAATGATTCAAATCTCTGTCTGTAACTCACTGAGTTATCAAGAAGTGCTGGGGGAATGTGAGGAAGCTTTTAAAGTGGTCTGCACCTGATAATGGTGCAGACCATATCACTTCCTCGAGCAGGTAGACCTCTAGGTGGCCGCCTAGTGGGTAATCCAGCTCTGTATACATGTATTGGTTTATTGATCCCTCTCTCCATACACAGCAGGTAGAAGGGGCATTCTGTAGACAATTTACTGGGATTGTCCTTTTATAAGAAGGACATAATTTAGAAAATACTAAACTGGTTAGTATGTCACATCAGAAAAAAACAAAAAAAATTTTATATTATATATATATATATATATATATATATATATATTTTAAAACCACTTATATGCAATAAGTAAAGGTCAGACTTTAAAAAAAAAAAAAAAAACAAAAAAAAAACAGCCTACAGATGTATTTTTTTTTTTAATTTAGCAAAATTATGTCTCAGCATTTAATAAGCGCAACCCACAATCAGTTGTGTTAGCCAGTAAAACACTCTCTTAGTAAAATGTAATTTAAAATGTATATTGAAAAGGATTGAGTCCCACCGTTAAATGCCCCAATATGTTGTGTGATGCCTCCCGCCTCCATTGCAGCCACCTGGGTTTTCCTTAGCTGGTCAAGAAGGGTTGTTTTTCCGTGATCAACATGTCCCATTATGGTAACCACAGGAGGCCTGGGAACTAACATGGAAGGATCTGAGGGAGGCCTGCAATGAAAAAAACATTTCAAAATTCTTACGGGTTTATTCAATAAACACTGAATTGTAGTGAAATGCAAATCGAATTGCAAAATTTAGGCAACAATAACTCCTTTAGGAAAATCTTCCACCTCAGTGACAGCCTCAGAAGGAAAGGGGGCACTAAATGACACATTTTCTGATTTTGATTTCTGTTCTCCAAACAGTGCTGTAAACATCTTGAAGGACCATACTCTGTTAGAACTAGCAGCAGGTAATTATCGTAGGAATACCTTTTTACAGCGTCTTTGTTCTCTCTGACCTTTTCTTGTTTCGTTTTCGCCCATTTCAACTTCATACCAGATTTTTTGATCGCCTCTCTCACCCATTCTTCACTCAGGACAGAGTTTTCTTCCAAAGAGTCCAAATCAAGGTTTGTATGTAGAAGAGCCTCGTACACGTGATCTGAGGACAGATACAAAGAAAGAATAGAACAGTTTACACGGCTACTAAATGGCTGTTCGGGCAAATACTGGTCTAGTTTTTGGCTTTCTTCATCCCAGCATGATCTCAAGTCATTTCTATGATGAGGAGTTAACACTTCTAATAACTTCTATCCCATTTCAAAAAGGATAAATGTACTGGCATTTGTTAATTTTGTTTTTTTAAAAAATATATTTAAAAAAAGATGAAAACGCGTGCCCATTATATATTTTAACGAATATTGAACTAATATATTACATATTTTAACTAATGAGAAGGCTTTGGGTTTTATTTCATGCATCTACCATATTTCTATAAAGAATGTTTATCTTCTTTAAAAGATACAAACAGAGTAAGGATATATCGTCATTTCATTAAATACTTTGGACAGAGTTCACATAAAGGCGTCCATAACCAGTACAGCTTGTTGTAGTGTTTATGGTGCAAGGAGTCTTTGGTACCATCTCATCAGTTAGTCAATAAAATTAGATGTAGTGGTCATGGTGTTTATAGTGCCATTTAAAAAGCAATGTTTTAACCCCTTTTTGAATAACAAAAAAAATAAAAATATTTAAATAATTAAAAATATATATTAATCCCTGAACAATGACTTACTTACAGGCAGAATAACCCATGGATTGTGTCTATTAGACTCACCAACATCTTTATCCATGGCCTTTGCTAGCTCACTGATTGTCATGTTTTGCCATATTTCCACCACTTGCTTTTCTTGTTTTGACTTGATTGGGAAAAGTTTATGCTTCTTTGAATATTTGTCCTGTAAAACGAAATACAAAGTGGTTAAATATTTCAGAATGTTAACATTGCTGACAGACGTCACCGATTGTCTGGAATGAGCTCTGATGCCTCTATACCCACCTCCAGTCTGAGCAGCTGTTGCGGGGCACTGAGCAGTGAATGCAAAACAGAGAACCTCCGTATCCCGTACATGAAATACATGTTACTCCCACCTCTTGTGTCATTTTACTCCTGCTCCCATTAGTATGTAAGTTCAGCTGGGCACGGCCCTCAGCACCTTCTGTTCCTCTGTGTCCAACTTGTATTGTTACAAATACTTGTTTGTTAGGCCACCTATTGTACAGCACTGCAGAATTTGTTGGCGCTTTATAAATAACAATAATATTAACAAACCGTTTTCAAAACGATTTAACACTAAAGTTATGTCCTCGAGTACCAGGCCAATCTTGGCACTTAATGTTGCTCTAGGTATTTTCGTCTGTTGTGATACTCTGGCCTCTTGCTAAATTATAGCCTGAAATGAAAGTTTACCTTAACGCTGGTGTTAAAATAGATCTAATACATTGTGGGAGTTACATACTGAAACTATGGAGGTGTGGTTTGATGTGGTTATATCCCAAAACATTGCTATCTTTCCTGACTTCGCTGCCAGCGCAATGGCGTCTTAAAGGAGTAACAAGAAGTCCTGAATAGAAGAGTAACCACAGCACATGCAATCTAGTGGCTGAGACGGAGAACCGCCTGTAGGAGGTTTCTCCTACTCTTCCTGTCAGTCAGTTGTCAACGTAGAGGTCTATGCTAAAGAACGGACAGATGAGAGGGACCTATTTATTTATTTTTTAACATTTCTTTCCATTCTGATAGCATAATGAATAGATAAATAAAAAATAATTTGCATATAGTATGTCAGGTACACATTATTGTATTGTTGGGATACATATTTTTGTCAATATCCTCTCATTTTCTACCAGCAGCGTTGTTTTTGTATCTGAATTACTTCTGTTTGTATTTGATAATCAGTACTAAACCACAGATTACTTTAAGACTGTTCTTATTTCATTCTCCTAGTGAACATAAAATATACATTCTATTTTTTTTTTTTTTAAATTAAAATTATTTTACCTCTTTGGTAGACAAGCTGCGGCAGGGATTACGGCAGAGTTGTGCAGTAGTGATGGTTTTTGATATGCTCTGCATCCGTTTCTGCGGGGTCTTGGCTGCTTTGGTAAGGCATAGCGCGTGCAACTGGCGGCAGGTATTATGGAGACAAATCAAGCGTTCCAGCTGTAACACTATTTTCCTGTTCATTGTCGTTCTAGTAACAAAAAAATAGAACCAGCTGTTGGAACACAATTATATACGGTGGTCTCTGTGTCTTCAAAGAGACAGACTTGCTACAAGAAAGATAACTAGCAAGACAAATTAATATCAGATCAGTGCACATCCTCTAAGCAGTGTATATTAGGCTACGGCCATTGATTCCAGCAATTAGAGAATCCAACTGCTGTCTATAGAATAATTGGGAAATAAAGTGGTTCACACAGGGGAAGATAATTAAATAGTATTGAAAACCCAAAGAACTTTTAAACAACTTTATAAATTTGCATCTATTAATATGTGCAACAACAAAATAGAAAATATTTTTTATCAGTAATGCCAACATGAGAGTATTGTAAAGAGAATTAAATGAATATATTTTAAATAGAAATTGTAACTTTGCAAAGTAGCATTTATTAATGTACTGAGCAAAATTCCAAAACTTAAAGGGACACTAGACATTGCAACCACTTCAGCCTATAGAAATGGTTATGGGTCTAGGATACCATTCTTTCAGTCTCTTCTTTTTTGAATCATTTAGCATGCTGAAAAAAAGGGCAATATATGTGGTTTCTGCGCAAAAGCCCTAACAATCAGAGGGCAGGGAATTACGCTTCCTGCCTCTCAGCATGCTGTTATGAGAAGGACTCAGTGAGCACTTGCTAGTCTCTGTGAGGATTGCTGCTGTACCTAGCTGTATTGTCAGTATGTTAAATGATTGAAACAAAATACATCAGAGACAGTATTCAGGCAAAATGATAATTTACCGCAAGCACCATGACCACTTTACTGATTAGAAGTAGCCCATGTCCTCCCTACATCCTTCCCCTCCAGGGGGAGTTATGTTAACGAGGAAGATTGGGCTGAAAGAGAACTTGGCATTAGTGCCAAGGAAGTGTTTCTCAGAACAAAAACAGTATTTTCCTCTAAATAATAAAATTGTTATAGTGCCTGGTGTGTTCATGAAGTTGAGAATGATGTCATATGTCACTGTTGAACTGTTACTCTATCATTACTACAAATAGAACTTCACAGATACAGGACTTATAACTAGAGGTACCAATGCACTCTCATCCCCCCCCCCAAAAAAAAAACCAAAAAAAAAAAAAACATGATGACAAAGTCTCCTTTGCCTATGTACTTATTTAATCTCCATTAATACACTGTGCTAAGAAATGTATCAGCAGCTATACAGATTAAACAATTTAAATAACTAAATGATCACATCTCCTCCCAAACTGCACATGACAGTGATCTCCCCCATTTCATAAAGTAAAGAATCATGTATAGTAATTTGATAGATAAAATTGGCTACATGACAGAAATAATATTACAATTACTGTTAAATATAAACATGTAGCCAGTCATAGCTACATACTTATCATTGGGTAAGGGAATAGTACTAGTATGCAGAAAGTTGGACCCTATACTATTCAATGTCAGGAATATTATAAAGGAATATATTACTAATTTTATGTTAAATAATGTCCTTTGCTTTTGCAAGTGATTTGCTATAGATATAAGTTAATGTATAAACCAGCCATAAGATTACCTTCCTGCAGCTACAACCAGAGCATGCTGACCTCTTGGAGGAATCACGTGACTACCCAGTGTTCTAAGCACTAGAGTAAACAGCTCGGTATTATATCCGTAACTTTAAACGTTAGTTACAGACAAAGCTTGCATATGGGGATACTTGAAGGATAATGATCTGGAAATAAACACCGTCGCAAGGCTCCGTACACAGCGGCGGACGGATACAAGGTGCTGGAAGAAAAAGGCTGTCATCTCAAGCGTTTAGAACTTTGTCGGACGGGACTGCGCATGCGCTCCGCCATGCCGGCACGCCTGGGCAGCCATCTTTGTTTTGGGCAATAAGTTAGCTATGGCTAATAGAAATACAAGGTCTTGTGTTGCAAACATTGCTGAGACTGAAGAATTATGTTCTTTTCACAAGTTGAATAAAATTTCTAATGTATAACATTATTGATTTTAAAATGTGTTTTTGTTGTTGTTGTTGTTGTTCTGTTTTTAATATTTTTGTTAGCGTTTATATAGTGTCCACGTATTCTGCAGTGCTTTACAATTATAGAAGAGGGATATCTGACAAAAGGTAATTGATATACAACAATTCCCAGAGACAAAAGGTGAAGAAGGCCCGTTTCAAGCAAGCGCACAATCTATGTGGAAGGGGCGAAGATACGCAAGACAAATAACAGGGTGTCGGAGGGAGTATGGATGCCCGTGTCGAAATAAGCTGGTAAACGTGGTGTATGGCAAAACTGAATGGCAGAAAGAGAGAGAGTGAGCCGGGCTATGGAGGCGAAGAAACCGAGGGGGGCAATTGTAACGAGAGAAGCGTCACCCAGGAAGACGGTAGGATTTCTAGAAGAGGCGCGTGTGACGTCTTAAAGGACTGGAGGCTGGGGGAGAGCCTGATGGCATGGGGTACAGAATTCAAAAGGAACAGGCGGTCCTTGAGAAATCCTGCAGATGAGAGTTGGCAGTGCGGGAACGAGAAGATATCAGAGGACGGTCGTTCTCAATATATATATTATCCAATCCAATCTACACTATATATATATATATATTTATTTATTATTACACTTTGCGCGCCGGCGTCTGACAGATACAGAGTGCGCTTTCCTACCACAGATAAGGGGTTAAACATCACAGCTTTCTAAAAATAAGCAATTGCAACATGTGTAATTTGTACACAGACTGACATATAGTGGGCAGTTCTTATAATAGATAGGTTTTTTTTTGTATCCATCTAGTGATCATTTTCAGAATTCTTGATTGATTTAGTGTCAGTTTGGAGCACTCTTTTATTTTAGTCTCATTTGCAACAACAGTAAAAAATAGCACAGTGGGACCAGGTCCTGTGGATTTATTCTGAAGATGGGAGCTTTTGGTGTGTGAGGTGGGTCTTTAGCCCCTCTTTGTTACCATTGTTTGCCCACAGTGGCTCATCTTGCAGGAGTCTGGCAAAGGGCATGTGAGCCATCCCTGCAAGAAGTGCACACTAAATCTCTGTGCACATTATTTATACTAATAAAGTTTTATGAAATGGACCTGATCCCATCTCTGCCTATGTACACTTGAACTCATTGCATGATTGTTATCATAGTAATAAAGTTTTGTTCTTTGAAGAAGAAAAAAAAAAGGTGTGATTTCTTGTCCACCCAGTCCACGTGTTCCTTCCAGGAAGCTGTTCCAGTGGGAGCATGGCGGGGGCGCTGCGGGCTGAGCTGGACACTTACCTGCAGGAGCTGGGAATCCAGCCTGTGTGTGTGGAGCACCCTGAGGTGGGTGAGAGAGAGCTCCATGCATGGGGTCTGGACCATATTGGTATTCATTGGCAGATATACTATATATATATATTAAATTATTATTATTTTACTCATTGGCAGATATACTAAATATATATATATATATATATATATATATATATATATATATATATATATATATATAAAATTATTATTTTACATTTACATTACAGTATATTCCAGGATCCAGAGCTACAGGGTTAGTAATTACAGATGTACTGGGGGCTTTGTCTATGAGTGCCACGTGTCATTCTGGTAGGCTCTTGCACTGCAACTCAGATTATGCTCAGCCAGACAGAGACAGTATTGGCTGCACAGCACTGATTCTCCTGTATTACAAGCTCAGTGTGCACAGGCAGAAAGATGCAAGTCATGTCAATGTAGGTGAATTGGGCTTTCAGCTCCCATCATGCTCAACCAGAGGTTGGTCAGCCAAATAAAAATTTTTAGAATTAGAGGTATATTTGCTTTCTTTTAATTGGCATAATTATATATATATATGACATCACAAGACAACTTCACCTAATGTTACATTACTTCTGAAAGAGTGACATAAAATAAAACTGAAATGGAAAAATTCCATAAATTACTAATAAACTTCTTCCAATATCTGTACTATGTCTCATTGCATGTGCAGCAGTGTCATTGTCTGTGTGTGCGCATAACAATGTATGCATAGTGTGTGCATACCGTGACTGTGTCTACTATGAATGTGTATGTCACTGTGTCTGGGTATGTGTCATTGTGTGTGTGTGTGTGTATGTATATAACAATGTGAGTGTCTATTTTGTAGAATAGAGGTAGATATTCTTGCTCCATTTCTCTCACCAAACTCAATCTAGTCAGAGAAAAACACCGGCCATTGTATTGTGGTAATTTTGTAACATCGGCACCTGCCAGATAGTCGAATATCGGGCGTCCTGGTAAAATTTCCTGGTGGCAGATTTCCTAGAAGGTTTTACTGAAGAGCATCTGTCATGTTTTGTCACCTTAGATTGAAGGCTAGGGGTATTTCTTCCTGCTTGAAGTGACAGGTGTGCGCTACTTGAGTGCGCCTGCTTCCCCCACATACCTCAAACCAGCATCTACACCTCATAGCACAAGGCTGCACGCGCGTGCTGAGGGAGCCCTTCAGAGGCCTCTGATTGGATATTTCCCCATGAAGAGCCTGAAAGGGATGCTGTAGTGTTAAGAATGCATATCTGTGTTCCTAACAATATAGATGCCTCCTCCCTTCCGGCAGCTAAAGGGTTTAAAAACAAACAAAAACCCTTTAGATTCTTACCCGATTCCAGTGCCGATGTCCCTCGCCGCTGGGTCAGGCCTTTTATGACTTGGGGTGTTGATGCGTGGTGAGCCCTGCAAGCACATTGGGCCCTCCCCATAGGAAAGCATTACTTCAGTGCTGAATGTCCTCATGCATAGTGTGCGGATATGCAGTGTCAGTTGCGGTCTGATTGACAACCACTAGAGGTAGTTTTAGTCCTGCAATGTAATTATTTGTTTTTTAGTAACTGCAGTGATTTACATTGCAGGACTGAGTGAGACTTAGACACTGCACCCAGACCACTTCAATGAGATGAAGTGACCAGGGTGACTATAGTGTCCCTTGAAAGTCTCTTGCGGAGGGAAAAGGGGAGGGCTTGCAAATACTGCAGTTCATAAGAACTGCATGCATGAAAATATGTGCATGTATTTATTGGTGGTGTAACCACCTAAATGGTGAATTATATATATATTAACAATATGGGCAGGGGAGTGTTCCTTTAAGGCGAGAATCTCTGCAGCTGAGCTGCTCAGCCAGACTCGTCTCAATGGATTTAAAGGGCTATATGCAATTTAAGCATAATGCTGACTAAACATGGCCCCAGGTATCGATTGGCTTTAACTCTGCTCACACCACATTGTAGATAATGGGGATTTATATCCGCATTTAAAGGGCAATATACAGCGCTCACTTTGGGAGCTGCATACAGAGCATCTGAAAGTTCAGTGACCCCAGCTGACAGAGGGGAACTCAAGGTATTGATTGATATCAGAACACCCTGGTGTGAATAGTGATTTAACCCTGCTCACACCAAAGAGTTAGGCAGTGATAATACGTCCTACCAGCATTAAAGCCCAGTATAGTCAGGATGTACTGACACGTCCTAACATCGCAAAGTGGTAAAATCATCATCTGATTATTTATTTACACCAGGGATACCCAAAACGGAGATCCCCAGATGTTATAAAACTACAGCTTCTATGATGCTTTGTCATTCTAAGGGCATACAGAGTATCATGGAAGTTGTAGTTGTACAATATCTGGGGATCTACCTTTCGGGTACCCCTGGTATACATAATCATTTTAAAACTATTCTCCAAAATGATTATTATAACATGTTTAGATGAAAATAATTAGATTGTTTTTGTAAATTGAAGTAGTGATATTTGAATGGTATCACACCTTTAAAACCATCTGCAACAGTTTCCGATGGGAATAAAAATAACAAAACCAGCAATGATGCCAGTAGCCATTTGGAACCTGGGATTTATAAACTGGATTGATAAAATATCACAATGCAGGGAACAGGGTTAACAAAATGCATTGCTTGAACGGACTAATGATTTAGATTACCAAAGATTCTCAAGTCAGTTACAAACCCCATAAACCCACCTTTCTACAAACTTAGTTATGTTTTGCTCTAGGACAGGCATAGGCAACCTTCGGCACTTCAGATGTTTTGAACTACACCTTCCGTTATGCTTTGCCAGCATTATGGGTGTAAGAGCATTACGGGGGATGTAGCCCACAACATCTGGAGTGCCGAAGGTTGCCTATCCCTGCTATAGAAGTTCTGCTACATCTAATGGTCCACGTTCTCCATACAAATGGAGAATAAACATACTCACAAAAAAAAGGTGCTTATGTATAGGCACTTCATAAAAAGCATGTTGCGAGCCACGCCGACAGTACAACTGTTCAAAGTATCAACACCTCTTGCTGACCTCTAGCTGTATGTGTATCACTGACTGATGCTTGTGTAATTTCCACCAACTCTCAGGACATTTACCATCTTATTCTACAGCTTTCTTATGGTGAACTCTTCACTATATCAAATGCAATTAATTAGGTTTCTGGGAGGTGTACTTCAGTCATTTTGAACTGCCACATGTAGCACCCATTGCTGTGCCCATTAAGCAGTGTTTCCCATCCCAGTCCTCAAGGCATACCAGCAGTTCAGGATAGTTGCAACAAGTCACTTTCTGCTTTGGTTAAAAACGTATTGCAAATTCTTTACAGTCTGGAAGTTTGCAGGATATTCAAATGTAGGTTTCATTTATTTAATATACTTTTTTTTTATTTTTAACCCATTTGTATCAGGCATTAAAAAAAACATGGACTAAATGTAGGCTGGAGTGTTTTTTGAATTGTCCATGTTACATTTGTGTTTTGCAGGTCTTTACAGTGGAAGAGATGATGCCTCATGTAGAGCACTTGCAAGGAGCACACAGTAAAAATCTCTTTCTCAAAGACAAGAAAAAGAAAGGGTTCTGGTTGGTGACAGTTTTACATGACCGACAAGTAAATCTCAACGACCTTGCCAAGAAGTTAAACGTTGGCAGTGGAAACCTTCGCTTTGCCGATGAAACAGCTATGCTGGAGAAGCTTAAAGTAGGCCAGGGATGTGCCACACCGCTAGCCCTGTTTTGTGACAAAGGAGATGTGAAGTTTGTACTAGATGCTTCATTTCTTGAAGGCGGTCATGAAAGGCTTTACTTCCACCCAATGACCAATTCTGCCACCATGGGTCTGACTCCAGAGGAATTCATGAGTTTTCTGAAAAAAACTGGACATGAACCTATACTGATACAGTTTGATACATAAACAAAAAATTAAATACAAGTTTTAACACCAGGAAAAGAAAATACATTTATTCTGTTCCAACTGTTGTGTGAAACATGGTAGTAGATGACAAAGCTCTTCTGAAATTACGGGCACCCAGGTACCCTAACATATTGGGTGCATTATTGGGTACGTGGGGATTTTCTTTTTTTGTTTAGTTTGTATGCCTACCATCTGTGTCTCCCTCCAATGTACTCTGGTTTATATTATTACTCCCTAAATACTCTACATGTTATGACTTGGGTTACTGTGAGTTCTAGTTAAACTGTTGTTTTCTTACACAAGTGAGCGAACAGTTAAATGGCTGACAGAACCCCTGATTGTGCCCATAAAGTATTTATTTAGGTAAAAAGTTCAGTAGTGTTATAGAAAGTTCATCGAATCTAGATTTCCTTTAAGTTTAAAGCAGTTCTGTTTTTCATGAAGCTTTTATCTTTATGAAATGCTCAAAGACTGTATTGGAATTTTAGTAAAATACCAACACAGTCTAAATAAGTCTTATGATAAATTCTTGACCAAATTTTACGGTACGATCGCGATTAGCGATGGTTTTGTTGGGAAAAAAGGCATTGTCTCACTTGTGTGGTAATATCTATGTGAGAATATGGCACTGATGTGGTTTCATGACTCATGTTACAAACGTCTTCCATTTATATAAAGGAACACTTCCCTGCCCAAATGCAAAATAAAAACACCATTTAGTAGATATGTCTCCAATGAAACAATGTTTACATTTTATAATGCATTTTTTTTCAGTGGGATATCTAAAAACAGTTTGCAAAATCTGAAGCCCTCCTCTTCTAACTACACCCAGACTCTCTGTGGCTGTCCAATCACAGACTTCCCAATGCAGCTCAACGAGAATTCTTTGCAAGGCAGGTGCTCTGAGCAATTGCTGCCTCTTGAGGTGCATTGAGCTAACTAAACCAGGAAGTAACAGGTTATTTTGTCTGACAGCCAGGAAGGAGGGGTGTAACAAGGTTAATTTTGAAAAAGTATCACTTTCTATTAAAATATTTTTGTAAAACGAAACAAAAGGGACACTATTCACACTTTAAGCACTCACCAAATGCTTTATGGTTCTGAATTGTCCCTTTACCTCAATATCCTTGATGTATTTTCCTCAAAATGGTAGTCATGTGATGGTACTTATAGATTGTCAGGAGAATACTCAAATTGTAATCGCAAATATGACTGACCGCTACATAGGTATGTGTTTCTGATGCACCCATATAATATCCATGTAGAGACTTTAAGTTCATCTACCGTATTCTTTGATCACGGCATAGTCTACGTCCACTCTGTTAATATATCTAGAACTCTGGCACAGCTCCTAAGAAATACATTTAATTCTAATACTATAATATACATTGTTACAGTTAGTACACATTGACCTTATCTACCACCATTGAAATGTTCCTGATAATTTAGTTGAAAAACTAGGTTTACAATGTTTTTAACTTGTAGGTTCATCAAGAAGAAAAAGTGCATGTAAGGACCATGAACAGCAGTAGTGCGGACATTATAACAAAATATATATACAATGTAAGAAACTACTATAATGACATAAGTGTAAGATCACTAAAAATATTATCCATACATGCATGTGCATTGAACCCACTTCCATTGTTTACCTTCTCTCTCGTTCCTAAGTACCATAACCACTACAGCTTGCTACAGAACCCACTACAGTCTATAGGAAGCCAGAAGCTCTACGACTTAAGCTTGGTGGTGCAGGACGTATCTAATTGGCAGTTATTTATCAGCTGATGCTCTCAGCCAATCGGCTAGCTCTCAGGAGAGCCAATGGTAGCCCCTAAGCAAGAGCTTCCAGCTCTCTGTAGGAAGGAGTGGAGACAGGGAGCAGAGACTGACATGTACCAAGTGAGAAGTTAAACTATTCTAAAACTGTTTGATAACTTACAATGAAAGGACACTATTGGCACCATAAACACTATAGATTGCTGTAATGGTTATATCGCTTGGAGCATTATTTTAATTATGTGAAAACTTAAATATCAAACTACAAAACAAAAATCAAAAGATAAAACACACAAGTTTTTTAGAATAAAAATAAAGAAAAACAAAGAATGCAAATCACAAATAAGTTAACTAATTTTAAAGTGTTTTATTTAGCTATAGTAATTATGTATATATTAGAGGTAAAACAAAGTTTTTTATTTTTTTACATTTATTTTGCTTTGTATTACTTTGTTTTAAAGTAACACCCCAAGCACCATAACCACAGGAGGAGGTGCCTATGGCCCCCGTGAAAGTTGTCAAACTGTTCTCAAACTGACAACTTACCTCTTGAGAAGATGCCTGTGCAATCATTGTACCAAAACCACTACATTTATGGTTATGGTGCGTGGAGTATATTTTTATATCATAGCAAAAAAAAAATATATATATATATGTGTGTTTGTGTGTGGATGAACTAAAAGGGACAAAATGGATTTGCACCTAGCACAAACTGCTCCAGTCTGTAAGTACCAAACAAGCTGAAATAGATTTGGTCCCTAAAGTAATACAGTCTCTTGAAAATGTATTTCCATAAAACAGTTTGAAACAATAATGCAAACATATTAATATTACCATTTAAACAAACTATACTAATAGTAGCTGGGAGTAACACTTTCCGCTGCAGTGATCATGTGATGTCCTCGACCAGAGTCTGTGATTTGTAATTTCACCTCACATCCAGTCTGTCTCCAAATCCTGTAACGTCCAATATTCTGCCCGTTCATCCTTTTATCTAAGGCACTTGTTTATGCACTCCTCATTTCCCAACATAACTATTGTAACTCACTGCTCAGCATCCTTCCAGATACCCGCATTGCCGCTCTTTAGTTTGTAAAGAATGTGGCCACCAGGCTCATCTTCCTGACAAACTGCAACTCCCACAACTCACCCCTTTGCCCTTTTATTTTGTTTTTCATCATTCTGTATTTGGACTTATAATATAGGCCTTATTGTGTATTTTTAGTAGGAGACAGAAGTAGATACCATAATTGAAATATTGAGTCTAATTGAACTAAGCAAGAATTGAAATATCTCTCTCTCGTGGTCTGGGTGCCTATAGTGTCCCTTTAATCACAAATTCATTGTTATAAATACAGGTGTATCTAGGAGCCTTCTTACCTTTAGGGTTTAAAGCAACCCCAAGCTGTGGTTCTGGGTCCACTGATGCCCTTGGCCTATCACCAGCTGTTCACCTAACCCTTCCTCATACTGCAGTGAGAGGCAGAAGTACCTTAGTCCCAACTTTGGGGTTAAACCATTGCCAAACAGTTCAACCCCTGAATGTTATAAGGCACCCAGACAATCCTGCCCCCTTTACAACTAAAGTGATGTTAACATTGTTATGTTACCACTTTCACAGTTTTCTATTGAAGTCACAGTGCTTAGTTTTTGTATTAGTTTAATTGATTAACGAGGAATTGTTAATTAATACTGCTTGTACTTGTCATTAATTCAAAGGAGGAATTAGTGACGGTCATTTTGCTATTGTGCAAACACAATGGTTGAGGTATTGGTTAACTCCTTAAGGACCAAACTTCTGGAATAAAAGGGAATCATGACATGTCACACATGTCATGTGTCCTTAAGGGGTTAAATGTTGCAAAAGTGTTTTTCAATTTCTTAGAGGTTTTATTTAATACGCGACCGATGGTTCAGTTACAGTGTTAATAACTATTCACTGGAAGAATTGATTGATGAAACTTGTGTCCAACAGAATTTATAGGACCAGATTTCAATGAACCAATACTGCTAAAATTGTTGTCGAAATGCGTGAGAACGGTGAGATTTCCATCTCTTCAACATTGGCAGCCGTTAACGTATCAATAAATATCAAACAGATTGCAATTTACTCCAATATATGCCTATATATATATTGCAATAGATAATCTGAAATCACTTATACAAATAATTTAACTATTGACACGTATACCATAAGATTTTGCATTTGCTGCAATAGAATTGCTCAGATTTATTAACATCCTCCTGTGTGAGAGAAGATTAGGATTTCACAGGAAGACTGACGCGGAGGGGAAGTCATTTTATTCTTACATATACTTTTCAGAAAATATAAACATTTGCTAGGAATTCTGTTCGCACAATATGCAGAGTATTGATAGAATTATCTCCTCTGGTTTAGTATAATATATGTACAATAACAGCAACACAACGAAGCAGAAACAAAGTTCTTAACTGTGTTACCATATTGCAGACTCTGCAAATTGATCAAAGTGAACGGTATGTAATGTAATGGGTATGCATCATAGTGTGTTTTTTTTCATGGATGATCTAAAACCATTAATAATTAAATAGAACTAGTGGCTAGAATATCAATGTATATTGTAAATGAAGAAGAAGAAAAAGTTTTTGTTGATTTTTTAATAACAAACATAATAGTGAAACGTCTTTTGTGTCTTAAATGCAGTTATGTACATTGTCCTGCAAGAACCAATAAGCAAACACATGAGAAATAATTAAAAGATAACGGTTTAAATTAAGATCCATTTTTGCCACTGAAACAATATCGTACAGTAAATTTCAACACACCCAAATTATTAAAACACACTCACCTTTTAACCCAAACTGATTAACCAATTTAAAACATGGATTCCCATAAGATAAAAACACACTGACATCCGTCGTTGTGACAAGATAAAGACTGCTTATTACGTGCCCAGGAGGAGGACACGTACGCCATACATTGATTCTCTGTTTCTTTCCCCCATTCACTAACATTTTCAGTGCAGGAACATCATTGTCATTTGTAAAGTTCTGTAAAATGTTCTTGAATTAAAAGTCTAAAGGAATAAACACGGTAAGATCTTGTTATACGGTATATATGAAGAGCCTAATATTAATGCTACAGAGGCAAAACGTGCCAAAACAATAGTGGCACTTGGCATGGTGCCTCTCAGGAGGAGTGGAACCCAAAATCCGTAATACTGTTACCCACTTACACGTGGGTACAAAACATTAAAAGGTGCCAAATATCACAAAGCATGAGTGTGTCTGTGGCTGGAACCAAGCACGTAGACTTGTGATTTCGAAGTTCGTAAGCGCAGCATATGTTTTTATTTTAATGCATCTACATGCAATATATATATGTGAATCACATGAGGCAGTGATTATGCCAGGAAGCTTTGATTTTGCAAAAAAAAAATTAAAAAATTTAAAAAAAGCAAGACATCTATTTTTCGTCTTTCTTGTTCTTAGAATAAAAAAGAAATTGGTGCAACTACTTTAAGCCAATGATCAGAAGCCAGAAAGGATTAGTTCATAAGGGAATGCAGGTCCTCAAACACACAGTCCGTCCTGAGCAGGACTGACGAACATTTTCCCAGTGCAAAATGCAGGAAACTCTTTAAGACGTCTCTGGTTTATGTATTTATTTTGATTTTCACTCCAGCAGAACTCCTTGATTCAAGGAAAGAAAGTTTGAAAGACTTCCAAGCTCTACGGTGGAGCTCTGCAATTAAGTTCTCTGATTGGCATTCAGAGGCTTGGACGCGTTGCTACTTCAGAAACAAAAACTTCTCAATGACAAATTGAAGGACACTTTTCTCTCTGTGTCGAGTCGAGAGCAGGAAAGGAAGAGAAGAAAAAATATGTAAGAATGATGTACAGTGACACAGAGAATAGTTACAAAGAGAAGAGGTTAATGCATGCAGAAAGGAAAAAGTTAAAAGGTGCCATTATATAGTATCTGCTTAGCATACTTCAAAAGACTTCCTTCTATTAATGCCTTTAGATATTGGTTAAGTAAAGAATTCCTTTCAAACTGTCGGTTTAACGTTTAACATGAATGTTCAGAGCTATGTGAAGTCCAGCAGCTCCATAAACGGATTAAGGACACCAAGCACCAAAGCTTTGGGTTGGCGAAACGTGGCAATCTATGAGAAGCAATGGATTGGACCACAGATCATCCGGTTTGCTAATGTATACATTTTAAAAAGGGGTTGGGCATTTGGGTTAGCCGCTAGAATATGGGTTAACATTAGAGATTATATTGAGGTATTTTGTCTAAAGGTTAGTGTTTATTCCAATAGGTAGGGCAGGAGTAGGCAACCTTCAGCACTCCAGATGTTGTATACTACATTTCCCATTTTACAGCCATAAGGCTGGCAAAGCATCTGTGGTTATATAGTCTAAAACAGGCTTTCCCAAATTCCAGCCCTCCAGATGTTGCTGAACTACAACTTCCATGATTCTATGAATGACAGATAGGCTTAGAATCATGGGAGTTGCAGTTCAGCAACATCTGGAGGGACGGAGTTTGGGGAAGCCTGGTCTAAAATATCTAAAGCAGAGATAGGTAATCTTCGGCACTCCAGATGTTGTAGACTACATTTCCCATAATGCTATTACAGCCATAAGGTTGACAACGTATCAAGGGAGATATAGTCCACATGTGAGTCCTGAAGGTTGCCTACCCCCGAGTTAGCCTTTAAGGTAAGGAACATGCTCCCACTGGTTCATACCTGCCCTTTGTACTTCACCTCAAACTAGAATTATTAGTAGAGACAGATGTAAATATTATATTTGTATTCAGACTGTAATGCAATATCACGTTTAGCTACTTTGAGTAGAATGGTGTGGTTTCTGTAAAGATTACCATAGATAATTTACCTACAAAAAAGTGTGGGACCTAAAATCAATGACACATCCTGTCACCCAGATAAATGGGGGAGCACAGAGAATGTTCTCTAAAGTTGCATATGTTAAATATTACATAATCTTATCTTAATTTCTATGAAAATCATACCATTGAATAAAACACTGAAAATCAATATAATTAATATATATAAAGCCAGGGAAGCCGAAGGGTGACAAAGAAAGTGGGCTTTTCTGACACAGAGCACTGTGCTGCCTGTCAATAATAGTTTTAATAACTCCTACTGCACATACCCAAAATTGTCTTTAAAGTGCTCAGTCCCTATACAGCTGAGACCTGAGACGCTCATGCTGTGGCTTAGTTGAAAAGTTGTGAAGCTTCAAACTGCAGGACTGGGGCTGTAACTCTGAGGACTGAACCAATTCTGATTCCAGTTTGTTTTAAGCTGTAATGATTGTTACTTTTGCCAATCATGTCAGCTACTTTTTGGCTCCATATTACCACTGTTGATTTATTGACATCTGCTAAGGTTATAAGGAATTTAGCAGTATCCTGCTGCTTTAAAGGGATACTATAGTGACAGGAATACAAAGCTGAAGATGCTATTGTGTAAGGGAGAGCTAAGAAAGGTCTTGGAAGATAGAGAGAGCTTAAGCAATGTAGACTGACATGTAATGGGTGGGAATTTATTTATTGGAGCTCTGTGTAATCCATCACAGTGATCCTAACGGTGTAGGTTAGTTATTAGCATCTCCTTATTCTGGCCAGCTTTGTGTGTTCTTTTTTTGTATTTACTCAACTCTACCTGTTGTCTCTGTAGTGTACCCAGCTCTGTGCACTGTATCGGTATCTTTGTATTGTGCCCGGCTCTTGTATTATATATCTATATATTTTTTTTCTCAGCTGTGTTTGTAGTATGGTTTTCTCTGTATTATGCTCCGCTCATTGTACTGTATAGGGAGGAGTCTGGTGCCCCACCAGCTTAAAACTTTACCAGCCGCCACTGGAGGGGAGTACATTTAAATTTATATTTTAGACCTTACAAACACATCTCTGTATAAATAAATGAAAAATCCCGGGGAGTTACAGCTCAATTTTAATGAAAATCTATGACACTTCGCTCTTACTTGTAGAAACAGCTTGATTATATGTTTCATGGTTGATTTATTGGATTTAAAATATTTAATAAAATTGTAAACCCAAGGTAGGAATTAATTTCCTACGAGCATCACCTCTTGTACGGCTCCAGTTTGAAGAAGATTTAATTAGAAATAATTACTCTTAGTAAATAGTCTATTCCGTGCATTTAAGGAAATGATCATGTGCAGTTGCATAACTCCAAATTCATGCATTTTCTTCATTGCAGCAACAAGACCAGGATTTAACAGCAGATAACAAATCAAACGCAAGCAAGGTACAAAGCAAAGGACGCAGTGTTAATGCTTTAGCCATGAATCATGGAAAGTTATTAGCCTCTTGCAAATGAGAACTGGCTCAACTCATTAACAACATGGGCAAGAAACTCACCACTTGGTATATCACGTGAACTGGCTGACTAAATTAAGGGGTTTGCTGTTCTCTAGACCTGCTTTTTGATAGCCTGATTTCTTGTGTTGCCTCCACATCTGCAGGAGAAAAGCAGGTTTAGTCATTGATAAGGTTGAAATTGTACATATGCTTTCAGGTAACGTATAGCCCAGCAAATTCCAAGGAACGTAATACACTGGCCTCACCTGCTTGCACTCAACAACTACACAGGTGACCAGGCCCAAAAGAGGCCGCTCTTCGTTATAAGTGTCTTTCTGTTTGACACAAGTGGATCATAGAGGTTATAAAAGGAACATTCCATTTGGGATTCCCAAAAAGAATTTACTCTACTACAAAATAATTTTACATGGGTCACACATTAACTCAAGCTACGGAGGTTGGGTTGGGATGGTTATGTGCATATAAGCGAAGACAAGCAATTGGATTGGCACTCTCTGCAGCCAAATTAAAAAACATCCAGTTTTTCTCATTTAGTCATTGATTGGCTGCACAATGAGTTCTATTTTAGATTGTTGGCCTACTGTGGAGATTGATGTAATTCTCAGCTCAGTATCAAATATTTCACAGCCAGGAAAAAACGATAGCTTCGCTATAGTGGCCTTGCACTTTTTCATCAACTAAGGAGATAATTTTCTGACCCAATTAAAACAAAAGTTATATGAAATAAATAAGAAGCAGGGATGTAAGATCGTTATTATAAAAAAATGTAACATTGTGAGTAATTATAACCAGTAATCATACTGATACATACAAATACATCCTTGTTTCATAGCTCACAACAAACTATTCCTGGAGTTCTAGAACATGTGGTGAATTTCATGCATAGCAATGTTTAGCAGGTTTAGATGAATGGATTCCCATGCGTGAAGAAAACAAATAATTTATATGTACAAACACATTCTAAATATACAGAAAGCCAGACTAATTTTATATGGAGCATAGCATGCGTATAGGTACACTATATGGCAAAAGGTATGTGGACATGTGCTGGTCAATCACCACATGCCATGTCATAGATGTTAGAATGGCGTTGGTTAGTTTGCTGTTGTAAAATATTCCTCTATTTCCCAAAGTGTTTGCGCTAGATGTTGGAACATTTTCAAATTCACTACCATTCACCCATTAGAACATTAGTACGGACAGTCATGTTGGGTGATTTCCTGAGTTTGCGGCCCATTCAACCCAAACGTGTTCAGTGTGGTTGTGATCAGGGGTCTATGTAAGCAGTTAACTTCTACCACAGTCTCAATGTATTTACTCATTCTCCATGAAGCTTTGCAGTTGTGACTTTCCAGTCAGGCAGGTAGTTTTCTAAATCCAAAAGATTTAGTTAGGCTACCAAATGGCTAACTGTTCCAGAAAATCTAATTTTTAAAGTCCCAGAGCCCAACTGCGCCAAGCTATACATTATATAAGGTCTTTCTTGGCATTACATGCAGAGATTTGTATTTTATATGTAGATGTGTAAGATCAGAAACAAAAGTCAGGCAGTTCTCAAACATGACAAACAAATTAGAGAAACTACACTCTTCAACCAAAAACAGCCTGTCCGTCTCCTTTTGTGAGCTTATGTGTCTTACTAATTTGTGGCTCAGTCGTTGTTGCTCCCAGAAGTTTTCACTTTACAATTAGACCACTTCAAGTTGAATGAAGCATGGTAAAAATCAGATAATGTAAGTGAAAGGATAGGTGACATTTGACTATTGTACCACTCCTGAAAGTCAATGAGCTCTGCAGTACGGACCATTCTTGAATGGGCTAAAATGCAATCCTACTGCAGGTGTTTGTATATTGCACATATGCGTGTCTCGATTTTATACACATATTAGCAATGATTGTGGCTAAAAAAAAATAAATAGTTAAATCAACTAATTAAAAGTGTCCAGATACTTTCAGCCATGAAGTGTAGTTATCAAGACATTGCCAGATACAGATTAAAGGAGAAAAACATAATACAAGCAATTAACTTGACTGTATCGTATCACGGAATAAAACTTCATTTAAAAGAATTGAGAAAAACTCATTAGTTGGACTCTACAGTCTTTTTCTGCTTCTGTGCAGGGAGGGAAGCAGGGAACATCATAGAGACTAATTGATGGCTTTTAAACACTGTCTGACCAATCGTGTATGTATATGGCTGAAGGATCCGGTCATGTACTAAGGGTAAAATACTTTTTTTGCATAATCATATATGTTTTTGACATATTTTACCATCTCCTTATCTTGAATTTGTACAACACATTAACCCAAGCTTCGCAAGGGTTACAAATTAATGAATGCTTGTAAAACCGCCAGAGTACTCGGTTTTCAAAAATGCAAAAAATATAAACTCTTCAGTTTCCTTATTTAGACCTACAAAGGAAAATAACATAATATTCTACAGAATTACAGGCTTCAAAGCAGAATGATTACATTTAAATCCCAATAATTATTAGTTAAGATTTATTTTCGGAAAACTTCCTACCCTATACGGATATTAAAATCAGAATGCAATACGTAAACTTCCCGTTTAAAGTATGGATTTACACTTTTCACCTTTAATCAAGATTTGCAAAACTTAAAATACAGACATTGGTGTCCAACATATAATAAGTGGGTGTCTGAGAGATCTGATATCATGCTCGCACCCCAACATGCACTTAAAAACAAAGGAGAGGATATTTGCTGTTGGTAGACCTGTGATACTCAACATTGTATAATCATCAAACCATTCCGGGCATACTGTAAGTAATTAAACTTGCCATGGTCAAATAAGATCCCCGTATTCATTAACTTTACGACTAATCTAAATTTGTTAAATTACGACTACGAATAGTAACCCTTTAAGCGGCAATATTCTGTCACTGCGGCTTGCGACTAGATCACATTTTTCATTAAGGAAGCCACAATGTTATTGCAGCTGGGATAATTTTAGGTATTAGACAGTTAATACATGTTTGTTTAGAATAATTATATTACTGCAGGGACGTGAGTCTTTACAGTTGCTATATTTTTAGATACATTTAAATAAGTATAAAAATTCTATAATACATCATTTAGTTTATTTTTTTAAACAATTATGAAAGTAATTCAGTATATGCTTTATAAAAAAAGAGCATTAGAAAATAGGATTCCAAATAGTGCTAGGTCTCTGAAAATTATGCTCTGAATGGACCAGAAGGTCAATACACATTTGACGACTCAACAAAAGTGTTCAGGATGATAAAATAGGCCTCGGGTCAAAGAGTCATGTTGAGTATTACTAAGTCTGTCACATACACAAGCATGTGGAGGGTCAGCGAGGCTTTCAACATGCGTAACAAACAACATGAACTGATGCTTCATGCAGCGACCCCTATATTCTTTTCAGGCTAATTTATCAACCATGACAGTTTCCAAGTTTTGTTATATTGCAACAGTGTTGTCGATCATACTATATTCACACACAACCATATTCATACCAAATGCCTTGATGATCTTCAGATACTATTATTGAAGAATCTACTTCATTAGTGGGCAGACAGGGAGGAGTCGGACAATTAAGGCCACTCATGTCACAATTCGCAATGTTGCTCTTTGACATGAGATACTCGGAGGTTGGCTGTTGAGAAGAAACCACAGAGAAGACACACTGTCTATCTCCAGGTGGCCCACTGATGCTACTCACCAAATCCGCGTTCAGTGAAAGATATGGGCAGGACATGCATGGTGAAGTGTAGGATACTATATTAGTCCCTTCTGATATGTTAACTGGGTGTGTGAGTGTTGATGCAACACCAGAATGAGTCTGGCCAGCAGTACCTTCACAGAACGCAACTGATACACACCCTGGACAGTCCTGCGGGTCTCGGATTTGTTTACAATTAAGAGGAATGCATTTGCTGGCAAAGGGAATGGTAATCTGAAAATTAGGAGACTGTTCAACAACACAGTACTCACTCAATAAGGATGGGGCATCCTCTGTTGTTGGTGATGGGTCAACTGATATTGGTGACCTATTGTCTTTGGACAAAAAATCATGAATGCTTGTTCTCCGAGTTGTCCCTTCAGCTGTAGAGATAACACTGCTTGCACGGGGTAAGGTTGCATAGGGATTGGAATCTTTTGTTTGTTTTTGTGTCGATCCAGCCCCATGTGTGAGTACATAATGTTCATCCGAGGATTGTGGATTGACTGTGGGTGGGAATGTGAATCGTGTGTCCTCTGCCTTGCGAGGGTTAGGTCGCACGCATTGCTCTGGTTTACCAGTCTTTCTTTCACCTAGCGAAATGCCAGGAGACAGCTGTGTGGGAGATTGGAATCCTGCCGATTCCGCAGAGCCAGACAGACTCCTCATAACTTCATCCAGAAGGTTTTCCTGGCTCCCAGACCGGATCTAGAGTGTAACAAAATCAGCAGAATGGAACAGGTGTTTAACAAACACATTTTGGAAACTGGCCGAGACAACAAAATTGCAGTGTGGATCTGAGAACACTATTAAAAATATTCAGTACTAATCTCCAAAATATTATTTGCCACAAAATTCAAGCTATTTGAATAAAACAAACAGGAAAGATAAAAACTATTTTTTTTTAATATTTATTTGTTTTGTGCTATTACTGTATTTCACCTTCAGGCTTCAGTAGCCCATGCATTTTTGGGAGTTGACCACAGCATTTAACATTTTAGACTAAAATAGCAAAAAAATGATTTCCATCGCAGTTACTTTTTCCTACAGTTTGCAATTACCTAGAGACATTCTAGCTTCAAGTTGTATTTTTTATGCACGGTGTATGGTAAAATCTAGGACATGAAAGCAGAGTTGGATAAATTATGTTAGTTTGCCGATTTTATAATTCTGCTATTCTGAAGATAACACATTATAATTATATTAAATCACGAGTCTGTACTTGTATGGATTCTTATTTACAGCAATATTCCACCTGTAACAGATAACAGACCAGACACTGGTCTAATCACAGTCCGGAAAACGCTGGAAATGGATTCAGGTGGTATCAACATCCTCGCATCACATTGGCCTTTAGTTAATAGTTTTAAATGATTTACCTATAGAAGTCACAATTAAAGTGTATGTAAATTTTTTTATATAAATCATTTGAATGAACCCCCAAATTAAATACTTTTACATAAAATACTTAATGGAGGCACAGTAAGTTAAATGGGTAGTAATTTCATACTTGGCAGCTCTGTTGCATATAAACTGACCTAACTTTTGGACCCCCGACTTTATATAATAAATATATATATATATATATATATATATATATTGTTTTACTCCCAAATCACCTCCCTTTACCTATAACTTTGCTATTGAGTGGACACTATGTCCTCCCATTCATTTGGGGGCTGGAGGAGAACACTAGCTCCCTCCCCATTTAGTTCAAGAGCCCCCACTCATGGGGTATTGGTGGGGGAACACTATGTCTCCCCCAGTTATTTTATTAGGTGCCCCACACCGTGGGGACATGGGGACCTGTGCCAAGTCCTCCTTTATTAGATTAGCAAGTGGGCAGCAATAGCTTTAGTCTTTTTTTATAACAATGAGCAGGCACTGGAGGGAAGGGGCAGGAGGGAGGAATTAACCCCCATAGGCAAAAGGTGAGGAGGGAGCTTGGGGATTTAGGAAAAGGCATGAGTACAGCTCCCTGCCACTTCTATTTTAAAATATTACATGGAGGGAGTCGCGAGCCAGTAGCTCCCTACTTGTAACTAAAATTAAGTACCAAAAAAACAAATTCCACAGACGAAATTTCATCCAACAAGCAATTTGTTTTTCGTTTCATTTATTGTAATTCATATTTGTTCATTTGTCTTTAGGACACATGGCCGAAATAAGTCTACATCAGTAGAAATTACGCATGAAGATCTCGCAAGGCAATGGAGGTAGGACCGGTATGATTGGCACAGAGGTAAGCATTATGGGAGAGGTTTCTGTGACAAAAGAAGTGACATTTAATTAAGCTCCACCCTTCTTGTCACATTTGTCAAGTGTAGGAAAAATACATAAGACAAAGTAGTCCCTATTTTGTTATGGAGAGAAATCGAGCAAAAATAAAGAAAATAAGAACAGACTGGGAAAGAGGAAGAGCGGAGGAAACAATAGAAGAAAGGCAAGTTTTTAGATGACAGAGCCACTTTGGTATAACTGTATGTGTATCCAGGTATGTATACATTCCTATATCAGGGATCAACAATCCGCTTATTTTCTACATGCCTGCCTTGAAAGTTAATTTCTATGACAAATATCAGCGCATACATCCTACCTCCACGAATTACGAACACAGTATTTGACGTTACGCGTGATGATATGGTGCAAATTGCAGGATGCTTGCTACCTGCACACTCCATATTTGTAGAGTTTACTTCAATGACAAAGACACAGCATCACATACAGTTGGGGTTTTAAGGCACACATACTAGGGCTAAATTTCCACTTGCCAATGGCTAGTGGGTAAGTGGAAAAATCTGTGCCTGGTCTATATTCTTGACCACTGTTGTTTGAAGGCTGATCATCTAAACCATCAATCTCTTAATCTAACATTGTCTGCAGACAGATTTAAACATCTATTCTTCTGCTTCCTAACAGTTAATAGATTTTTTTTTAAACCTGTTAGTACACTGCGCATTCCACCATGTTTAGTTTTCTATAGAAACTGCATTGTTGTTACTGACCCCTTCTCTGCTCTAGCCTAGTGGGTTTATAGTTGCATATTCATACAGCTCCAACATACTGCACTGGCTAAATGTAAATGCTTTTCAGAATGCTAACATCTGTTAAGCCTGTTAATTGCACTATTTGCAATATGATGTTTAGAACAGAAGAAAACAGTGCACAATGCTGACAGACACTTTTCTAACAGTGACGTTCAGCATTCTTACCTGACTTACAGTGAGCTTGTTGCTTTCCTCTAAAAACTGTTTAAGGGAGACCATCTCACTTCCTGGAGAACTGAGCCTGTGTTTGGACAGGGTGAGGCTCTCGGGGTTGTCATAGGACTTTAGTTTCAGCATAGGACTAGACGCGGCACTCTTTTTTAAGCGATGGCCAAAGTACTGGACTGGACTGTTGCTGTTGGAAAAGACTTCTTGATCGTGATGCAGGTTGAAGTCTCCGCTGTTATGACTTTGAGACCTAGTCTGGTTAAGTATTGCGCCTGCTGTAAAGAAAGTTGCATTATTTTAACATTAAACAGCACACGGAAAACATGCATTTCAAATAATACACAGACACTGTATGTTCGAAGAACATTCTGACACTTTGTTCTACAATGTATTGATGCTCATTCCTCTGGTTAGGTAAAACAGTTCACTGATAATTTCTACAACAAAGTAATGTACCCATTATAACACAAACACTTGTTTGGTGGTCAGCCGGTTCCATGATTGTATTGTTGGATAATACGTTATATTAGCACCCTTGTGTTTTATAGATTACAGAAAGGATAGCTGATCACTGACAAACTACCCTTATATCTTTACATTCCCCTTAATCAGTGACATTTGCACCATCATTTAATATTTCGAATCAGTGTGTAAAGGGAAAACAACAACAGCAGCATGGGAAGTTATATTCAAAATTCTTCATTTATTTTGTGTAAGAATCATGGATTAAGCCTGGAGTTGTGTGCGTACCATTTTAATTTCTTTAAAAAAAAAAAAATACATCAAAGTTGTGTTGGGTAAAATGAAGAATTAACACTGCAGTCTAAAATTTCCAAATACAAGCCTGGAATATGTATATAAGTACATATATGCATTAAAGCAGACATCTGTCAGATCAGAAAAGGTACACACAAAAGATCCCATATTTTCTCTATTTGGTAAATCATACCTTCACAAATAAAGAACAGATCGCAAAATAATAAATGAGCAAGAATGATAAACAATGCAATGTGGTTCTGTCTTTAGATTGCTCGGGCATTTGTTATCTGCTGCATGATTGGCTGTTATATAAACACATGAGTTTATCTATATATTTATCTTTATATTTGGAATTAGTCTATTGTTTTCCCGGTTTGTTTTTCTTTCTCAGTAGGCATTTATAAAACATATACTAATTTTACTAGTTTTTATTTACACATCAAGAAATGTGATGAAAAATAAACATTACATTCTGAGCCAGGTATCTGTCTTATTGATCTATATAGATAAATCTAAACTTGTGTTTTGAACAAAACCGTATAGAAACAAAAGGGAATAGACTGTATAAGGCTGATTTGCAATGCTTTAAAAGCAAAAAAAAAAAAAAACCACAAAAAATACACATTCTTTCTATAAACACATATCTTCTTATTGTTGTACAGCCAGTAAACATTCATCCTTTGTTTGCACTGCAGGTTTGCACAGGGGAGCTAGTCAGGGGTTACCCAGTAGCAGATCATTTTTATATCCAGATTTATAAATAACGTGTATGTGTGCAACCTCAAACGCATTTTACACCACCTGCTTTTTCCAATCTGTTTACTCTGATCCCAAAAGGATTCGGACAGACATTCAATTTGCACTTGCACTTGCACTTTTTTCCCATAATTGTGGGGGTGGGGGGCTACATCGGGTCAGTCTGTGTGCAAGTTGAAGCATGTATGTTGCTACATTTGATGGTAAGAATTAAGAAACACAAAACAGGTAACAAAGCAAGAGAGGACAGCCATACAGACATATATACCGATCATTCCTGTGCTAAAGAAGTTAGCATGTGTCTAATAGTGTGTGACACTTTGTATATTGTTACAATGCATTTTGGAAGTGTAAGAACATACCAAGCTTTAGATTGTGTGTGAATGTTGAAGTCTGCATATCAACCTACAAACTGTTTCTGTAAGTATTAAGGAATTTGAAGGGGATGGGGTGAGGGGGAATACATTTTTAATGTTAGTGTAGTATAGAGATTAGAACTATGTGTGTTAGGGTAATGTAGCGGTTTATGTGGATTGTAGTGTGTTAGGTTAGTGTAGGGAATAATTTCTGAATTTGTCCCAGTGCTGTCTGAGACTAGTGGGAGTTACAGTCACAGGCATCAGTTATTGCAGCTACAATCATTAAAATTTCAGCAGGCATGTGTCACCCCCAAGATTAGGGCACCCCCAGCCTATATACAGGCTGTGCAATTAGAAAGAAGATTTAAAAAAAAAAAGTAAATTCAATCATTGCACAGCAGTTCATAGAAGAAAAAAAAAGTTAAAAGGATTGCATTGTCGCATTAAATCAGTTCAAAAATGTTTTCTTTGTTAGGTGTTACAGATTAAGATCTATGAAATGCGCCACCCTGTGGTCAAAGCGGTTACTGTTCTGGAGCGAGCTGCAAAATGTTAGCTATTAGGAAGGGATGATTACTTTACGACAAGCTGTAAATGTGCACATAACACTAAACTCATTGTGGTGAAATGGGGGAGACTTTTAATTGTGTTATTAAAAGAAGTTGCGGCAAAGTTTTAAACAAAAACACTTTCCATGGAAACCACTGAATGGTTATATTTGGTTTCCGTGGCGTTCTTATGACACTTAGAACCTTGTCCAACTTTTCTGTTTGTGGCCTTTTTATGAACCCCTCATACTGCAAGCTAATTTAATTTTTGTTTAAACTGCAGCTTCCGTGGACAATCCAGCCTTGGCATTCCATGCGTCAGTATCCGTGTTATAAATGATGTCAGAAATCTAGGGTGGTCTGCTTGGTTTAGGCTACAATTAGTTTAATGACAAATTGTTTAACCAGATCCATCATGGGTATAAGTCACGCATCTAACAAAATCTAACAATCTTCAATATAAGATGAAGGGAACAAGACGGGTCTGATAGGGAAAGACCAACATCATTGATATAGGCTGAAATTTTATATGTTTCTGTAGCCACTGAAAAATCTATTATATTCAGGAAATCACAAATGGTCTGCAGCAGTGCATCCAATGAAAGGACAAACAAAATAAGGCATAATGGACAACCTTGCCTAATTCCACAAAAAAAATTATTATTAGTTATTGGGTATCATACTTGTAGTCACAACTCGTTCGAAGCCAACTTTATAAAGCTTATCCAGCCAATAAAAAAAGTGGTATAAACACCTAAAATACCAAGAGAAGGCAGAGGCACAACCACTCCAGAATGCCAATCACCTTCTCTTTGAAGACGTTTTCTGCTTCTCATTATGTAAACAAACATATTGCTGCCAAGGGCATCCTATAACTTAGAGAAAGCCATTTCAAATCAGTATTATGTATTGCATTCTCAAATGCCTGTCTAGTTAGAATTAAACCGATCTGATCCGGATGGGCTAAAACACAGAGATCTATTAAAAATCTTCAAGTCGGGGGCGGGGCCGGTTGCATGCAGGACAGGCTCCGGAGGAATCCAGCCTGTTAAAAATCTTCAAGTCAGAATTGAATATAGAGATTGGTTTATAACTTTGTCAAATAAAGGATCTTTTCCCTCTTTAGGAAGAAAAACAATATCAACACTAATTCTGCTTCCAACCTCTCTCCTTCTATTACACAATTAGAAAAGGTATTAATTTGTAGATTTAAGATAAATCTTGAAAAGTTTTAAAATGTATAAATGGGTAAACTTCCTTGGTCACTGGGGCTGCCAAAAAGCTCAGCCTGAGCAGAATCTAAGTTTGGGAGGTTCAAACGGTTAAAACACTTTTTATAATTGAATCCACATGAACCGCAGAGGGTACAACACACGAGAGTGAATAATACGACTGTAAAGAAACCTAAAACCATCATTAATCACGTTAGAATCCGCTGAAAAGAAGCCATCCGGCGCCTAACTTACAAAATTTGGCGAGCTTAAGATCTAGACAATAATTTAAAAGGGTGTCTCCCAGGCGAATCGGACCCCTTTCATCTTAAGGTATTCAGTTAGTTGTTCCCATTTTTTTCGCCTCTGTAAAATTGGAAGAGTCAGATAAAAGTAAATCTCTTTATTGTCAAACTTTAAGATCCAGCTTCTGTCTTTCTGTATAGTTGTTATTTTTCGAATTGTTGTACTGCAACTAGATAATAACATCCCTCATAGTATGGAAGTCTTTCTTGAACAGTTGTAAAGATCTGTGCAATGGATTAATGAATGGTTGATTCTCATAAAGCCCTGGTACTAAAGATTTGGACAGGCTCATAACAGTGTCAGCTAATGTGCCAGGACCAACCTTTTCAAGCAGACTTTTAATCCTCACATTGTTAGAACGTGTTCGATTAGACTCACTGTTAACTCTAAAGCCACAACTCGTTGCAGCATTAAATCAGAGGAGTCAATATTGCCCTTAAATTCCTAAGCTACTTTAGAATAACTATTTAGATATCTTCCTTAGGTGCCAGATTAGCAACAAAGGACTGATGATCTGGAGATCAGGAAGGTCTAGGGCAACCTTCGGCACTCCAGATGTGTTGGACTACACCTCCCATTATCCTTTGCCAGCATTATGAGTGTAAGAGCATTATGGGGGATGTAGTCCACAACACCTGGAGTGCTGAAGGTTGCCTATCCCTGGTCTAGGGAATATTTCCACTACCACCATTTTAATCCAGATTTAGATCCTTCTTTCCGACCGTGTGGAAGAGCTAAGCCACAGACTAGTCATTATATTTGTTTGTTTTTTGTAGATTTTATCATGCACAGCTGCTAGGGTAGATCCAAGGTATGTACCCATTCATATTGATAAATATAGAACAGAGCAAATTATATCCATCCCAATCGGCATCAAAACTCTCTCCCGCAAATACATATTCAACTACAAGAACCAAAAAGTAAAATTAAAAAAAACGTGAAAAACCTCAAAAAAAACCATCAAACATGAAAAGGGTATACCCTTCAATATAAACATGTACCAGCTGCTGCAAATCTAGCATTGTAGGACATTACATTATTTACATCAAAAACAAGGAATATATCAAGGTTGAAGGTCTATTGTGGAAATGACTTTACTGGACAATTTGGTTAATTTTAACAAAATATTATTTTCAACTAACTTTGGCTTCTTCCTTTTATTTCGTTTAATTGGATTGCGAATCTACTACATACATATCACTGCTAACGGAGAATTCGAACACGAACTACTAATTTCAAAACATTTTATGTCCATGAATATCCTCAGCACATATTTTAAGGTTGAGGCCCAAAATATATCAATTAATTTATAGATTTTTGCCCTTTTTCTTAATGATTGGACACAGAGAAGTAGAGTTAAAACATTACTGTAAACAAAATGATAAACACATAAAAAAACAAAACAAACAAAACATGTAAACATTTAACACCACCATGGACCTAAATACATTGGTAACATCAAAAACCAAACAAAAATAGTGAAATAAAGAAAATGTAAAAATAAATAATAATATGTCTACAGCGTACCTGTAACTTCATGGATTGAGGCATTATTATTGCTATTACTATATGATGTCCTGCCACTATCAAGGCTGGATGGCCTGGGAGCTGGATGGGAGACAATATAATGAGAGAATGTATAAAGTAAATTGTATCTCTGGTAACAGAATGTTCAGTGAGAAGAGCCATGCAATATTACACAGGCCCAGCATGCTCTCAGCCAAGCTCGGGTGATTCTAGAAAGTCTAGGAGGGCAATTTGGAAATCAAGCAATAAGGGAGGTGTAGTATATAGGGAAAGAAAAAAAAAAAAAAAAGATATAATTGCAATTCTAGTAAATATATTAATGTTTAATGTAAATGTTAATAAAAAGTCCAGGGTTTGACAAACAAAACTTCACCACATGCAGAAACAGACTAGGTTAGTGACATATCTGAATTTCAAATAGACAGTAAAAAGTTAAACACGCTAAAGCAATCATTTCATTTTTCTTCTTGTGGTTTGCATTTCCTTATACTCCCCACCCCCCCTCCCCCGCCACTATTAAGATTTATATTTATTTTGTTAGTTGTGCAGGATCTCAGTACTTGGGGGCAGACATTTTGCTCTCCTCTGAATATGACATATGCAGTTTCCTGCTTGGTGGGATGGATACGGAGGATTATGCTATTAACGCTGCCAATTGTGATGTTTTATCAACTTGACTGCTAAACGTGAGGAGATGTATTCCTATTTTTCATTATGTATTTTATAAAAACGGGAGTGCTTAGGAAAAAAATAAAGAGAGATTCAGACATCGAAATCTATACAGAAGCAAATTAGATAAAGTTTATTTTTGGTAGTAGATCCGGTTTAAGATCCCTCACTCAGAACCTATAGACCTGTAACTAGATCTGTACAAGGAGATTGGCACCTTTCTTGGTTATGTAGTTAAAGATTTCAGCACTCATAGACCTATTAAAGGCTATTGTGAATAACTTTCTTTACAGATAATTTTCATATATCATCACCTTTATATCGGTGTTGTCCTAACACATCATAAATATCCCATTCATATCTCTGTGGGCTTTTTTTTTATACTACCTATTTATATTTGTCCACAGGCAGACAAATTACTGTGTAGCAAGTTATAATTATTAACCGACCATCATACCTCTCGATGTTAATCGGAATGTACCAAATTCAAAGCATATTTCGTTATTATTGTCTTTTAGCAACTGTTTATAGTAACAAAATGTAACCAAGTACGTTAGACAATTTATTTTTAAAGGTAGTGTTCGATTCTCCTAATGGACAATGATGACTATCTTGGCGTGTTATAAATCTGATTACAGATCCACAGTATGTGGACAGCTAGGAGTAAACTGAATCACATACCGGAATACTTTTCTTGCAGAAAATCATGAAATGATATAAATGAAAATGTAACTAAATATTCCAGAAAACAGTATACCACATTTTTTTTTTGTGTTATAGTCACCATTTACTGTTGATGATCCGTATGAGATAACGTTACCAAAATACATGTACTCTAACAAGAATTTGAGGATGTCAGTTTGTATGCTGGATTGTAGTAGGAATTTAATCCTTGAAAATTTTATACAAATGTAAGAAAATTAGAAAATGTGCACAAAATAGGCATTTATATGCAGCCAGTAATTCAGCAGGGAACAGCAACAAAGTAAAAAATAAATTAAAATATTAAATTATACATCCAATAAAGTTTCATTCCACATATCCCACTCCCTATATCTCAAAATAGGGAGAAAAATCAAGCACAAAGCATAGCCGTTTATTACGGAGCAATATATGTCATTTTTAATGGCACTTATCCTTCAGAGCGCAGAGCTGATCACATGCAAACAGCACATTCAGTGTCTTGCAGAACAATTCTTTTATTGGATCATACCAGGTTAAAAAATAAATTCATAAAAAGACAGGCGTGCCTATTTTCAAATACTCAGGATTCCTTTTATATGGATTTAAATGGAAGCGCTGCACATTTAGACAATCTACTATAGGAGTGTTCAAAACATAGATTCCCTAGTCGTTCTAGAACTTTCATGGTGCATTAAAAGAACATTTGAAACTCCTAAAGCACTTTCTGGAGTGCTTTAGAAGGCATGTCCCCTCTGTCTTATTTGATAAACATTTTATTATTTCTATAGCGCCATCAAATTCCGTAGCACTGTACAATGAGTATTTATAAATGACTTAGGTTGCACCCTCGTAACGGTCAGGCAGCCAAGAAAGTTTTCATTCCTCACTTGCTTTGAGTGCTTGCTCAAAGCAGAAGTGATGGCTGCTCAGAGACAAACATAGGTTCCAGTGCTTCTCGAAGAGAAACACGTGCAGTGTGTTCTTTATGAGAAGCTCCAAATTGGTTGGGAGATCATGAACAGTAATGGTCTTCCAGAGTGGAGTGTTGATGCAGTGAGAAGACTGCCCTATCCATTGAAGGTAAGGAACTTATTTTCTTTTAGAGAAATAGCAAGGGCTACTAAATCTAAACAAAGGAATACTCCAACATTTTAACTACTTGTATTTCTTTGTAATGCTGGAGTGTTCATTCAAGGATGGCAAAGAATCACAGGAGGTAAAGTTCCACAACAGAGATCTAACCATTGGCTTCCCCAAATGTTAAAGGAACACTATAGTCACCTAAATTACTTTAGCTAAATAAAGCAGTTTTAGTGTATAGATCATTCCGCTGCAATTTCACTGTCATTTAGGAGTTAAATCACTTTGTTTCTGTTTATGCAGCCCTAGCCACACCTCCCCTGGCTATGATTGACAGAGCCTGCATGTAAAGAAAACCTGGTTTCACTTTCAAACAGATGTAATTTACCTTAAATAATTGTATCTCAATCTCTAAATTGAACTTTAATCACATACAGGAGGCTCTTGCAGGGTCTAGCAAGCTATTAACATAGCAGGAGATAAGAAAATCTTAATTACACAGAACTTGCAATAAAGAAAGCCTAAATAGGGCTCTCTTTACAGGAAGTGTTTATGGAAAGCTGTGCAAGTGACATGCAGGGAGGTGTGACTGGGGTTCATAAACAAAGGGATTTAACTCCTAAATGGCAGAGGATTGAGCAGTGAGGCTGCATGGGCATGTTCTATACACCAACACTGCTTCATTAAGCTAAAGTTGTTCAGGTGACTATAGTGTCCCTTTAACACCTTAAGGACCAAACTTCTGGAATAAAAGGGAAACATGACATGTCACACATGTCATGTGTCCTTAAGGGGTTAAGGAATTACGTTTATGATATTGTAAACACAAAGGCGACTAGAACCTATTTTAATGCAGGTTATCAGCATTCCATTAGTTATCATTCAGGGGTGTGCGCAGTACACAGGGGTCCTTACCTGGCAGTGTAGTAACAGTATAGGAATCATCGTTCGCGCCATGGACACTGACATCTTCATAGGAAGTCCCATCTATGAAACATTAACCGAACAGATAAATTATTTAGCATTGCTAAGAGTTATCTGAAATAGGGTCTTAATTCACCAAGCTACTGGCTGTAAAATAAAAGTCTGCACCGGGGAATTACAACACTCAGAAATGTTTCTAGCTAATAACACAGAAAGTGGTGTGTGGAGGTTTATGGCAGTTGTAGTACAATAAGCTGGGGGGAGTCCTTATTTTTTTCCACCTAAACTTATGTAGATGGATCCACTGGGATCCTACATAATCCATAAATGTGCAGTAATATTAAGTTCCTTGTCAACTACAGATAACCGCTCGTAGCCTACAACTGCCCTGTGAAACTTTCAGTATACAAAAAGCATTGTACTCTCAAATCCACAAAAGTAACAAATCTAAACAAAGTCCTTAAATGCCTTAGACAGGACTTGTTTTAAATACATTTCATACAAGCACGTTAACAATCAAACGTGACCTGACATAATAATAAAAAAAATAATAATTTTATATATATATATATATATATATATATATATATATACACACACACACACACACACACACACACATATACACACTTCTACTAATTGTGTTCTATTTATTGAGATTTTATTTTTTCCTTATGTCCCATTTAATTATTGTTCAATTTATAGACTTTAAATTTACTGTATGGTCTTCTCTTCCTGTGATGCAATATTAGAATCATATCAATTAATGTAGAGTACTGAAGTCCTCCTGCTTTTTTTCATACAATTTATCATTGCTTTGCCATCAATCAAGTTACACACTAGGGGAAGCCAATTAGCTTTTTGTAATCACGACCAGGTTGAGAAGCACATAAGGTAAAATAGCCCATGTAGTTACACACAATCATGAAAACTATAACACAAGTAAAGAATATGTGAAACTAAGATATGAATCCTCTTTAATAAATAACACATTCCCTCTGATTTTACGCAATATCCTTTATATCTGACCCGTGTGTGAGCAAATCCCCATAAACAGACATTCTTCGATTAGTATATGACTATATCCTGTTAATTCAATGAAAAATAAAGTTTCTTGTCTAATCTGATGACACTTTTATTAAACGGTCATGCAATGTAATACCCCAAAGCACAGATCCTGTGCTAGTTTGCATTCTAAAACCTTATCAGCCTGTTCTAATCGCAAGAAACCAGCGTTTGGGATTTACATAAAATCTGAATTTAATCCTCAAGTGATTAATTTTGTTCTATGTCCCATATTCCTTGTATTTACTATATACACTCACAGATCGGCGGACATTCTGATAGGTACAGTTTGTAAGTAATGGTGATTAGATTTTTTTAAAGGGTTTATTTACTAAACAGTGAATTATAGAAAATGTAATTGCAAAGCGCAGGGCAATTTTTTTGGGAAAAAAAAATCAATATATTTGTTATCACATTTTGGCTAATTAAGCAATAATTCTGCCTTTCAGTTTTTATTTTGTTATAATGTGAAAAGCACATTAAGATTCTATGCATTTTATGATTTATCTGGCGCTGCCGAACTAGCATTCCTTTTCTATAAATTTCTACATGTCAACTTCCTTTCGAAAGGTGTGACTTTATTATGTTAAGACATTGACGACCTGCACACTTTGTAAATGATGTATTGCTTACGGTTACAAAGATATGTTTGATGTCATCTAAACTTGTTATCCTCTGTTTACAAATCACTCCACATGCTATATTACGGCAAGTATTCAAACACCGGTCAGAAAAGCAAAATTCTCACCTTCCAAAGTTATAGTTTATATATCAAATTACTGTAGCTACAGATATCAATGTATGATGCCAAAGATCATACATTTCGTGATGTTTTGTATCATCGCTAGGTTTAATAAGGACAGTTGGCTCCAATGTTGAAATGTGACATTGAACCCAAGTTAGAGGATGGTCTGTTGACTGTAACACATTTTAGTTTCCATAGGAATCAATATAGGATTTAATTCCAAAACTGCAATATTGATTCCTCCTAACAGAGGTTTGGCTCTTGGGTTTAAAAGACTATGTATGATGAGAAATTCCTAGATCTTTTGGTTTGTTCTTTTTAACCCCTTAAGGACACATGACATGTGTAACATGTCATGATTCCCTTTTATTCCAGAAGTTTGGTCCTTAAGGGGTTAAACATTCTACTATTGAGATAACCAAGTCTTAGATAGAGAACGATATTTCATCCAGCCCTACACAAAAAAACAAAAAACAAAACAAACATATAAAAAAAACACCACCACCACACTGAGTTGTTAAAACTAATCATCGACACAGATGATCTGAGAAGAAAAATAAATTAAATTACACATAAAATAATTTTACATTAGATGGTTATTAACATGAAAGATGCTAAATTTTAAAATGCGGTTAATAAAATAAAAAATAAAATAAAATATGCAAATCAATAAAAAAAAAAAATTTAAACATCCTGTCCTCCCCAAAAACAAACAAAAAAAATTAAACAAAAAATGTAAAAAAGGTGATTATGTACATACGGATCATATCTGAGTTGAAATGAAAGGCACGGCCTATACCTTTACTTTTAGGTATCAGCTTGGGTCTGAATCCCATGGACGGGTTGAGAGTTGAAAAGTTGATAGCGGTTGTGGAGAAGGCCATAGATCCCAAATCATTTCTCCTTTTCCCGGTAGCAACATCATCAGGACCCTCCAGATTCTCAGCACTACCTGTCCACTGTCCACCTGCCAGGACCATGGACTGCACCAGGTCATTCATGGCTGGGATGCAAATGAAAGCAAATGAATCAGCATGACATTCAGCGTCTCTTGTGGCCAACTTTAGTATTACAGCCATTCAAGCATTAGAAGCCAACTGCAGCTCATATAGCTAGCACTCACAAATCCACTTAATTATACAACATGCATTCTTTTGAGAATGATAAGCATGGGTGATCTAGGCCACGCATGAAGTTGCACACAACATGTGGCTTTTTGCACTGTTTCTTTTTAAGCTTGCTGTGGAGGAAGGCCATGTTATTCCAGCAGTGATGAGCAGCATAGCTTGCAAACAAGGTATGTCGCTTAAAGATGATGAAATGGTAGGGCATGGTAAAGCTAGCAGACGCATGTTAAACCGTCTGCTACCAAAGAGGGAAGTAACACACTGCTCAGCTATGGGACGCAGTCGTCTTTGGTAGCAGGCCAGTTATCTTTTAATTAGCAATGAGAAAGGGGGTCCATGGCCAGTGCAGGTTACTGCAAGAATACAGTGTATTGCACAACACTGAATAAAAAGCTTACACAAAGTCGTAGTGTTAGAAACGGTGCTTCATATAGATTATAGCTTCACCATAACAATTAAAAAGCAAAAAAAACAAAACAAAAAAAAAATATTACCCCAACATGAATTAGGCACTGCTGTTTGAAAAAAAATAGTAAAATTGAAAATAACTAAAAAAAAAAATTCATAGAAAGCATTAAAGTGAACAAAATAAATAATTGAAATTTATAAAATCAAAAGTGGGTTTAAAAAAAATTAAAAAAAAATTGTTTTATAGCCTCCTAATTTACCACATACTGTTGCTTATATTATACAGTTAATCATTTTAAATAATGAAAGCAGGACCTAATAACCTCAGGATTTTTCAGCGATAACGGAACTGCAACCACCGCCAATTTCTGGCTCGTCTGGCTGACTTTTATGGTAGTTGCAAGTAGGGACAGAAAATCTGCAGCACGACATGGCTGTTCTAGATTACATTTCCCATCAGTCTCAGCCAACCACTGCTTGGGAGTTGTAATCTCATACAGCCTGTCCCTGGTTATTGGCCATTTAATGGCTTACATTTGGTACTTTAGTCTGACTTAGCATCACAGGAAACTTTGCTTGCAGCAGGTGCTCCAAAAAGTTAGCCACGGAGGCCAACCAATCGCCCCACCCTTGCCATGAAGCAGACAATTGCCAGCCTTTGAGATTCATAGTCCTTGGAGCAGAGTTTGCACAGAAGGATAAAGAGCGCAGTCAGGGAAAGCTTGTGAAATATTAGTAATGGAAGCTGGTGCGGCTAGTTGAGAAGAACTGAACTGTTTTAAATTCTTACACACGGAGCGGCGGTAGAGAGCCTTCATTTTGTCTTTTTCCTTCGGTCTGTTCCTCATAAAAGGCAGCCTTTTCAGAGCAACCACTTATGTCACAGCATGGGAAGAAAGAAAAAAAATCAAAAACGAGAAGAAACAGGAAAAAAAAAAAAAACAGGGGAATGGGAAAGAGAAGGGAGAAAAAACATATGGAAGAAGTTAAATGCTGAAACAAAAGACAGAAATGATCATGTCTGATTTTCAGCTAAGCATGCAATCCTAAACAAAGACAGACTGGTACCAGGGTGGATGGACATGGCATGAGATGGACGTCTCACAATGAACAGAGAACACTTGGAATTAAGAGGAGCATCACAAAAAAATAATTAAAAAAAATGGAAGATTAAAAAAAATAAAATAAAAATCAAATGACTCTAAATTATGTGAAATTATTGTTGCAATTGCACAGTTTTAGTGGCACTTGTGACAAAGTGTGTAGTAAAATTAAAGATTACTAGTAAAACTCCCACAATGAAGCCACTAGTTTGAATTAATATTTCTCTCTATTTTATAAAAAAAATGTATTTTTATCTCCAATGGATTTATTTTTTTACGCTACATCCCACTTTGTTAAAATTAATTTTTTTACTTTCAAAATACAAAATTATGGAGAAAAACATTATTTATTCAAGCAGACATACCAAGGTTTACTAGCACAGAAGACATTGAGAAATGACCAGTACTTGGAAACTTTAACCCAAAAATGCCAAGTTGGAGAATATTTTTTTTTAATTACAGGTCTTTTGTCTCAGAGCTTGCAAAGTCATTGTTAATTTTCCACAATCCCTTTTTTGGTATAAACATCAATATACGTTCTTTGCATTAAATAACGTTACCATTAGCTCAGATCCTAATTAAGCCCTCTAGTTCCCTATATACAAAAATAATATACATCTACTTTCTTAAGAGTTCTTCATCATCTACATTTTTACATCTGCATTTACCTTTTTGGGCAAAAGGTAAAAAATAACTACTTTGTGTTGAACCAACCTTTATGGCCTCCCAGAGCAACTTCTATTTCACAAACCAGACTCTTGACCTCTCTTCTGCTACTTTTAAAACATGTTGCTTTGTTGGTGTCCCCCCACTTGGCCCTTCCTGGGGTGTTTTTATATCCTACCTCCTCTAGACTGTAAGCTCGCTTAAACAGGGTCCTCCTCGACCTATTGTTCTTGGAACATTTTGTAATTATCTCATTTATTGTTAAATTCCCCCTTTTAAAATATTGTAAAGCGTTACGGAGATGGCGCTATATAAATGCCAATAATAATAATAATAACAACAACAATAATTATCTCTAAATTTGCTTGTAGCTCTGAAAGTAAAATCAATTCACTGAAAATCATTGCCCCAGCTGCTTCGAGAACTAAATTAAAATAGGCTTTATTTAATGAACTTTAAACTATTGAAAAGGGATTGCAAAAATGTGCCGTAATGTTTCAACTAATATTGTTGCATAAGCTTTCCAAATAATTTATTATTTTTGGATATACTTTTAAAAACATTAACATTATAAAAATTATTTTAACATTGTAATATTTTTATATAGATTATTTGATATTTTAATATGTTGAAAAAAACAAGTACTGCATTGGTGAAATTTTTTATTTTACTAGACAGATACATAAAATACCAGTTATTTGGTAAGCAATGCCTAAAATTAATGTTGCTGGACCCTTTTCTAAAATCCCCAAATTCTAATATATCTATCCTAAACCATATCATAACCTCCTCTTTAAATGAAAATTCCTCTTTTTGTACCCAGCACCATAACCACGAAAGCACCCTTCAGATACCCGTACAAGGTATGTACAACCAGTGGTGTGAAAATAATTAAAATAAATTAATGTAAGCACTATTTGTGTGTGTGTGTGTGTGTTTTAAAAAAACCCAAAACAAAACACACACCAAAAATGATGCTTACATTAACATGCTCAGCCTAAAAGCACTGGAACAGTCAAGTTTAGTCAGTTTTTCCACTGGAACAGGTATGGAAAATGCCTAAATCCTGGACCATTGATTTGTCTAGAGTCTAATTCCTGATGAATAGGCTCTGCATGAGGACATCCAGCCTCAGTCAAATTCCCATAGGAAAGCATTGCAGCAATCGGGTAAGTACGATAAGGGTTTATTAAACTTGACACTGCCGTGTAAGCAGACTTTTATTTCAGAGAAAATATCTATCGGTATATGGCCTCTTTAGTGGAACAGGTTTAAATCCAGCTGCA